CATTTACGTTTATATACCACCAAGTAACCGAGCTCATATATGCGTATATGTCGTGCCGAAATCGCAGAATTGACGATTCAATGAAATCGGCAGCCAGTTTGCCAAATCTGTAAAATCAGCATTTCATTGGTGATTCGTAAAAACGGACCTTTAGAATTAGGGTTAGAACATAAATAGACAGTTAGAGCTAGGAAAGGTTCGATCAAGTTCGGCCAAGTTCCTTTATATTTAAAAATAAAAAAATAACTTGACTGACTGACCTAACCCTAGATACATATAGAATAGAAATGCTGATTCTACAAATTCGGCAGCTGGCTGCCGATTCCAAAGAGTCGGCAATTCTGCGATTTCGGCGCGACACGTAAATACTACCAAGCAACCGAGCTCCTTTACGCATATATACCACCAAGTAACCTAGCTAATATTGAAAGGGATTACAATAGGACTCGTGAAATTTATCGTTTAGTCCCCCAACAATATACGCGTATATACCACAAAGTAGCCCAGCTAAGTTTCATATGTCGGTTGATAAAAATACGTACTCTGTCTGTTATCTGAGAACTTCCATTATGAGCTCATTTTTATACCACCGAGTAGCCGAGCTCATTATTGAACAACCCTGTCTTAACTTTTCCTTAACTAATGACCAGCTCCATCGAAGCCATCAGCAAGTTCAGTAATCGATATCGTAATGACTGCGCTGTCCTTTCTCAAACGAAGAGATGAGGGATGCCAAGAGGGGGCCAATCAATGAATTTGCGATGAGGCCTTCGCGTACGTAAAACAAATACGTGGAATCATAAGAAACCTTTCCGCTGACTTGGGTGTATTTTTCGATAGTTGTCAGTCGATGAAAACTTATTTCATCCAGTTTCACCCGAAGACTCTGAATGGTGGTGGTGGTGGTGGTGGTGGTGGTATTTGCTGTGTGGTGGTATTTGCTCAATCTATTTAAGACGACGAAAGATTGAGTAGAATCTAATTTTGGAAGCATCGAGCTTGAACTCAATTAGATTTATTGACCAGTTTTTCAGAAATTTCGTCTGATAATATTATATTCTGATTATATGACAACAGGTTGCTAAAATAATGCTACTACATCCCGAAATTTCCACATGAACTTAACGCTGTATCAGTCCGTTGTTACGGAACAGCATTACTTGCTTCTTTTTTTATATGAATGAGCTACAAACGAAAACAAGCAATCGCTTGACAGGAAAAACTGTCCATCTGACGACGATGATGCAAGGTCTTGACATCCTGACAAGAACTTTTCTTGTCAAGTTTCCTTATCTTGACTTGACCTTGTCTTGTCATGTTTGACAAAAACAATTGACTAGAACAATTTAATGCCTATTAATGTAATTTAGTATTTAAATTTAATTTAATTTATTGTGATTTCATTTAATTTGTTGTAATTTAATTTAATTTATTGCAATTTAATTTAAGGTCTTGACAAGAACTATTTGTAGAACAACCAAGTTTCTAAAACGATTGTGGCGGTTTTAGGAATGACATTCAGGAAGACCTCGCTAATTTCAGCCGCAGGCTGTCACGTCAGATCTGAGCATAACTTCTACTTTCAGACAAACGCGTAGAAACGAAACTTCACAAATGAACGTGGATAATCTTCCGGCATTATTGAGCCGTCAGTTTGGACTGTGTACGACCTCTTGTTTCATTTCGCCATTTTTTTCGCCAGCTTTTCAAATTTACGTGATTCAAAGTTATTTCCTTTCGCGGAACTTCTCCAGCAGTTTTGTGTATAAAAAATCTGGTTTGGTATGTTCTCACAAAACCGTTCATATAAGAGTTGTAAAAGAGGGCTTCGAAAATGTTCAATGATTGGATGTTTAAAAGCATTCAGAAGCAATTAAAAGAAGCGCACGTCAATGCAGCAGTTAAATGCAAATTTGACACATCTAACGCTATCAAAATGCGGTAATGTTGTCGATAAATATTACCTAAATGTGGAGATGTTGTCTGAAAACTACATGTATATTTACGATGACAATTTCACTACGATTTCAATTAGTTTTAAACTGTTTTTTTTCGAATCATGAGCTCCAAACATTACTTCTAAACATATCTTTTGAGTGCAAAATTGCAAAATTATTACTTAAATATCCCACCTGCTGATATTTTCAGTAGGAAATTACTCGTAATTATTCACGCTTATATTTTCGTCTTTAGAAATTACTCATAAACGTGTAAAAATTATATTTTCATCTTCTTTCCATTTATATTCATATTTACCGAACAGTACGCCGTAAAGCTAGGTATTGGAAAAGAGAGACCATTATTAAGGTGGCAAGCATAGGTGGTCCAGCGTTTTTATTGAGACGTTACTTGTTTTTACAATTTGGCGTTAGCAAATCATTATTATTTTATACCTCGCAAAAAATATCAAATTTTTATGTACCTAAATACCTCCTTGATTTAACTTTCGTTGAGTCAATTGTAATGTTAAAATGCCACGATTAATATTTCTGTACGTGTTTTATTTTTCAACAAGTTTCATGACCTGCATGATGTGAATGAACAAATCGTTTACCAGTATTCAGTTAAATCGAAGTTGGTATTCTTGATATGATAATCAATGATGCGTTCATCCGAAACCTGCAAAGGAAGTTCAAAATGCGTAATGGAACTTTTCTAAAATAGGAGTTATTCGTAGGATATTTTTATAAGGCTTTGCTAACTTTTTCACCCCGTTACAACTATGATATATAATTTTAATCGTGGGCGTTTCATCGAGTTTAATTCACATTTAGTAACAAAGCATTCATTGATTGATTACATTGAATAATAATTTTTGGAACTGAAAAATTGCTTATTTATCAGTATTTCTTTTTTTATGATATATATGAATTTTTTTAATTTCAACCTGAATATGCCTGCGATAAAATCTCTATGCGATTTTATGTTGAAATAAACCGTAATTTATTCTATGTGCATCAATTTATAATTGTACTCTTTCTTAATCATTTGGACAGCAATTGTGATTAGAAATTTACAGTGAACTCATTTTCTATTCTAAATTTTTAAACTGTCGGGAAAATAGGGACGATCAAACGGTTGCACATGCATATAACTTATAATTCCCTCATATCATTTTATTTCAACTTGCACTACACTAATTCAAGCTTCATAGTTCGTAACTCAAAGACACCTTCTTTGCATATTATTAAAACATTTATTTTTAATAAGAATTATGATGCGAAATGAAATCATCTGACTAATGTTTGCAGGTGCGTTAAAGTCTTGATGTCTGAGGATATCTCAATATCAAAATTTTTATCTGCAGTATTGTTCCGCTCGGTTTTTCTTTCGGTTGTCTTTCAACAATGGGCGTATCGACGTTTCAAAGAAAGCCGAAGTCGGAGCATTGTTCCAGTGCGCTATTGTTGGCAGTCGCTCTCAAGATGTGTGGCATTGTATGATGTTCGCCATCTTTTAACATCAACTCAGTCTGGTAGATGAATATGTAAACTTTATTTGAATTCAAGGTTTTTCTGCGGTGTACGACCGCGCATGTTTCGACTGCGCCAATAGAGTTTCAAGTTTCAGAAAACAACAATTTTCGAATATTTCTAGCTGAAATAATATAGATTTTAGTCGAAAAACAAGGTAACATTTTTCTGAGTGCAGTTGGAAGAATGTAAAAGTTTAATATTGATCAGAATCTAAATTAGGTATTAACATGTAAAATAAAAATTAAGACTACCAAAATATGATAAAAAACCACACCATATAAGTTATTAACAGGGCTTATTCCTGCAAAGTTTTTTCATTCTAGCCTAGCAGCTGAGCGAGATTTCTTCTCACTTAACTGGCTAGTACAATAAAAAGCAATATAAAATACAGAAATAATATTAATTAACAATAATATACACAATTATGAACAATGTTGCAAATGTCGGTACTGTTATTTTAAACCACAACAATTGTTCACAATATTCGACCAGGTCCTTTATCTTCATCCAAAATTCCACGTTTTATTCTGGAATAGCTAAAAAATTAATCTTCATTTAGTTTATAAGAATAAGGTTATGATAAATGTCTGTTTCTACTAAATAAAAGTGAATCAGTGGTCGTAGCCATACGTGTACAAAAGTTTTACTTTCCAAAATTTCATCAAACCTAATTTTTTCTGAGTACTTGACCGCGTATAACTATTACAAAAATTATTATGCATGCGTCCAAAATCCTTTAGGGATTAAATTTTTAGATCTAACACCTTCCAGTCACAAATAACCAGTCCCTGAAGTATGTGAATAACTTCTCCCATTTATATGATGAGGGTGATGTCTAAAAATATTTATTTCTATTGGTCGAGATCAGGGTGATGGTTGCTGCTCATTCCCCTCTCAATCCATCTCAGAAACTTTTCGTTCTGGACCCCCTTGTGTTCCGTCACATAAACACGGATAAGATCTCGATCTAATCTTAAAGATATATTACTGTCATTCGATGTAGGAACATGTCTACCGCATGTCAAGGCTCTTGTTTTATATTTTTAACTCCGCAATGTGTTTAATTTTTTTAAAGCAACTTTTAAAAAATACTTACTTTTTTCTCGTCCATTTAATTTTTTATTTCATGATCGCGAACATCAGCCGGTTTAAAAACAGGGAAAAAGCGATATCTTAAATGAACTGATTTTACCACTCACGTGACATCCGTATTCCAATAGACAAATATCTGAATGCTTATTCGTAATAATTCCTACATTTCTCTGAGAGTATGAACGCACAACCATCAGATATACAATTTTTATGGAAAACTATATAAGACAGAAAATAAATTTCATTTCCAGAGCTAAGAAATCCCGCATCGTAATTTTTATTCATAATAAAAATGCAGACAGCCCCGAGGGTTCCTTCTCAATCGAATTTACTTAGCAGACAATAATTTGAACTGTATTCTACGGTTAATCTGGGACAGATCCTTTTTTATAAAGATAAAATCAATTCATGAATTTGTTTTTTCTTATTCAGGTAACGCTTGTGAAGTGGAATGAGCCATACCAGAAGCTGGCGACATGTGACTCATCAGGCATAATCTTCGTGTGGATCAAACACGAGAGCCGCTGGAGCATCGAACTCATCAACGACCGCAACACTCCAGTGACTCACTTCTCGTGGAGCCACGATGGCCGCATGGCGCTCATCTGCTACCAGGTCGGTTAATTTTTTCTTTCGATGTGCCATGATGGTTGCATGACCCTTATCAGGCACCAGGTCGAGAAGCCCTGATGGTTCTTTCGAGAAGCCCTGATGGTTGCATGAGTCTCATCTGCTACCAGGTCGGTTCTTTCGAGGAGCCCTGATGGTCGCATGGTCCTCATCTACCACCAGGTCGGTTCTTTCGAAGAGCTCTGATGATTGTATCTGCCACCAACTCGGGTTTTTAGAGGTGCCACGACGGCCCCGATGGCCAACATTAGCTGTTGGCCATCGGGGCCAACAGCAAGTCGGGGCCTAATCGGTTGGCCATCGGGGTCTAGTTGTTATCCTACTCAGATAAATTTGATGGTGTACTTTCTCGTGCTGTGATGTACTTTTCCTCTGTCACTCGTGTAATTTAATGTCATACAGGTTCAGTTCATATAAAGCACTGAGTTTTATGTTTTTCAAGAACGGATACGTAAAGTTACATGTAGAAGTCCTTACCAGCGCATAACTAAAACATGAATGATCAAAACTTTGAACTGGTGAAAACTTAGAGTCCGGAAAAGTCTGAATGAAAACGGAAAACTCTTAACGCGAATTAAATAATTATCATTATTTTAAATTTTACAATAATATTATAATTCTAGATTTGTATAAATTGAATCTATTTTCTAGCACACGGTTATAGCATAATTTGCTAAGAACATACAAGTTGTGTGATTCGGAAAAAAAATCAGGACTAATGCTAGTTGTATAACAGAGGAGAAGTGTTCACGCAGCATTTTTGCGCGTCGTTAAAAAACAAGTATCAGAAACAGCTTTACCGAATGTTTTTTTATAGTGTCGGTTTATACAAACAAGAACAAATAAAGGCGAAAAAGTTAGCGTTCATTCACTGTAATATAACATTGACAAGGATCAAACATGTCAATTTTGTATGACTCGCCAATATAAAGCAGGACGTTAAATGAACTTAAAACAGATCAAATATTGTGTTTCCTGATGCGCATGACTTTGCGTCATCGCTTATCGAGCTTAATTTGTGAAATACTTCATTTCATTTCATCTTGTATCTTATTTTCGATAAATAGTTAATCCGAATTGATAGCGAACGACAATCGAATTTTTCACTAAAATTATGCGTTAAATTTACGTCATCAACACTAAATTTTACTCTGATTGACAGGAGTAAAAAAAATTTTGGTAACGCATATTTTCTTTCTTTCGCCTATATATAATAGGCTGCAACTATGCACATTAAATTTCAGCTTTTTTAATTTCAAATAAAGCATGACATACAAAATAAAACAATTCTAATTTACGTAAAGATAGATGTTAAAAACTTTTGAGCAAAATGCATATAACTTGATAAATCAATGAGTATTCGCAACAACTCCTCGTTCAGAGCCGCTAATATTTGAAGCCAAATTTGGCCGATGGCTGACAGGTTATCTTTAAGACGCCCCTGCCTATCAGTTCTGTGCCTCTCACTTATATCGCCACTGAAAAGTTTGACATCTTCATCAGGGAAAAAGAGGCGTTCATATCTTATGAGTTTTAGTGGATGTAATTTGAAATGTGTCTCAACGTGTTTAGTTTTAATTTAGCTCTGCCGCTGGAGACTGACTGGATTATTTACATTCATGTAATTCGTATTAATGAATGGACTTTTAGAAAAATATATCACATGCTGATTAAGGTACAATTAGTTTATTTCTCAAAGTCCCTCATAGTGGTGAAAGCAATTTTCAAATGAAAATTTCCGACCAGCAGTGTAGCAAGGCAATTGAGTTTTAAAGGACTTTCAGAAACGCCAACTGCATTCTCCCAACAATTTCAATTTTTTCAGTTCAATTCCAGTCATAGTTTGGGTGAAAATTACAAGGCAATAGAGTTTTACGTTACTTTCAGAAACATAAACTGTATTCTCCCAACAGTTTGAATTTTTTCCGTTCAGTTTCACTCATACTTTGGGTAAAAATTACAAGGCAATAGAGTTTTACGTTACTTTCAGAAACACAAACTGTAGTCTCCCAACAGTTTCAATTTCTTCATTTCAATTTCACTCATAGTTTGGGTGACAACAATTTGTTACGCACAATTTAAGTACCTCCTAAGACTTCTGGGACTAATAAGATTATGAAACTCCGTCAAATAAACACAATTGTTAATCATGAAATCATCATATGCACTTCATTAAACAATTTTTGTTCCAATAAAGATTTATTATAAAGATTCACTAAAGTTGTCTATCCTGACGGAGTCTTCGCTCTGACCGTTATGAATACTTTGCACATTTCCAGCCTCATTTTTCTAAAAACAAACTGATTAGCTTTCAACCTCACTTCAAATGAAATTCTAATCTGAACAGATGCGTCACGATGCCACTCGAGATAGAAGAATTCTTTTTCCGTCAAATCTAATATCATTCTTCTTGGGAATATTTCAAAACTCACCAGGATATCTGATTGTCTATGACCGTTGTTTTTAATTTCTTTCTCCAATTAAATGTTCCCTGCATGTCAATATGGACGCTACAAAAGATTCAATAGAGAAATTTTTTAATAGAAATTTTGTTTCATCAGCTTATACCAAGCTTCAAACTGAATTAAAGATTTCCAATAATCTTTTTCAAAATCTTATTAAAAACATGGTATAAAATAGTGTAATGGTGTTTCCAAGTTTTTTATTCTCTTGTGAAATTTTTCAACAAAGCCTGGTTGCGACTTGTTGGGTCGCCTCAATGCTATTGCAATGTCTAGTAAGTATTAGTAAATTGAAAAAATAATAAGTATTTATTAATGTTTAACTTCATTATTAAACATAATAAACATTTTGCCCATTTAATAATTTTTTATGAAAACAAGAATGATCAAAGGGACTGTTAATTAATCCACTATCTATTTTCAAGAAATTAAGTAAATTCCAGTACATGACTTTGACTTAGACTTTGAAACATTCCAATGTCAGCGTTCAGCTCTATACCATTGAAACTAAAAAAAATCTTCAGATATATTTGATGTTGCTTTGCAACAACGGTAAACGTTTATTTATTTCGCCAATCTAATTAAGCTTCCAATTATTCTGATATTGAGATTGAATCACAGCGACCCTCCCTACCGATCGCTCGTGTTGCAAAATGAAGCACTCAGTATTTCAAATTCGGTGTGCACCACGTAGTTAAAAACTGGATACATGACGTAAAATTTATCTTCGAATGATGTCCCTGCTAAACATCCTATCCAAAACATTCCAGTATTGTCCCAGCTTTCAATGCGATGTAAAATGATTATGCGAGCGCCGGTTTGCGGTGTGCCAGATGCGATGCGATTCCTGTCGGCGAAACACTTTTTAAATTCGAATTTAAGAGTTGGTGGCCGGGCTGTTGATTTCATGCCTGAAACTCCAATTTATGGACACGTGTTGAAGTTGATTTAACAACAATAAAATGAGGACAAAATAGTTTCGTTGCATATATAAATATTGAATCGCGATAATTTTTCCTATACTAACTTTACATGTGATTTTCAAATACTTTTCATCAAAAGACGTAGAAATCGTTATCTCAGTTATACAAGCCCAATTTAAGTTCCAGAGCCATTCCATGAACAGAATTTGTAATTTACCCATAAGTATCAAAGTGACATTTTTCATATAAATATGCTCTTAGGTTAGGAATAATTATTGTAAATTGGATAAACACACAATTCATTATCGAAAAATATTTCCAACGTTTGTTTAATTTTCTGCCTAATATTTATCAAATATCATAAATGCCATCCTTTCATTTTTCTCAAAAACTCGTTTCCTACACGAAAAACCGCAAGCGACTATAAGTGACAAGTGCACATTTGCATCGTTACTAAGACCGCGAGCCAGAGCTGGCTGCCCGAGCTTTAATTTGGAACCAAAGCCGCATGCGTAATTACGCAACATTGAGCCACATGCAAATATTCGTCACTGCAAATTAAACCTAACGCTCCCGTCGCGGCCAGCAAAGCAGATTGCGGGTGAATGAAAAGGACCAAATTGCCTGGGTGACGTGCGTTCTACAAATACAGCCCCCTTGTGAGCCAGACCCTATATTTGAAGACCCACGACTGTGTGCGCCTTGTTTACTGTGTGTATACTTTATACTGCTTGCGCCGTGTTTACTGTTTGTATACTGTATACTGTGTGTACTCAATATACTGTCTGCGGTTTTGTTGCGAGCAAACATGAGGGAGGGAAGTTCCAGTTTTTTTAGTATTTTTTTATCATTCCTTTGTAGGCTCTTCATTCGAGTTTGGTAATGTGCCTGTATTGATTCACAGTTAACGTGAAAAATTGCGCAAACTTCTATAACATTAATCGAGGGAAGAAACATACTGATGTAGGCAATACCAAACATCATTTAGTTTCAATTAATGTAATGCCATCAAAAGATAAAGAAAAACAGGCATGGCATTAACCTTCTGAAATCACCCATAAAAAAATACTACAGATACGTCGCAATGCAGCCTTTATCCGGAGATAACGATGTATTTGGTCTACATCGTGTGTTGAAGTCTCAATGACAATGAAAAATAACAGAGAAATCGATTTAATATTTCTTCAAAGAAACTGGCGATTCATTCCAATGAAAAAAAAGTTTCATGCGGGTTGTAAGCATACTGATATACTTTGTACTGCAAACAATAATGATTATTCTCCTATTATCGATTGATTTTGAAAACGAGTATGCGTCCAACTTAATGAGATGCGAAACTATACTGTTTTATAGAATTTGAAATAGCCCGACATATCTGTCGATTGGATTACAAATTAAAGATTTTTCGTTCCCGGATTTCCAATCTCTTTTCGCTCTCTTCATGATGTGTTCTTCATGCATTATGTAATATCAATGCTGTAATATTTTGTGTAATATGTGTTTGAAATTTGTTGTATTACATTTATTTATTTATTTATTCATTTCATATTTATTATGAGAATTTGCGAAAGAGAACAGTCGTCTGAAGACTTGAATGAAGTCAGAAATGCTATTACACAGAAACGTCGCAGAAATAAGATTTCTGTGACCGTATCAATATTGAGTAACATGATACGGCGAAGTATAGAACGAAGGCTCTGGTCGATTCTCGCCCCCACAGAGCGTCCCATTTCAGATCTTCCGTTATTTTAGATGGAAGAAAAAGCTACCAGAAAGCGAGCACTAGAGCAATCCAGTGTTAGTATTATGGACGCTTTAATTCCGCATCTCAAACTCAATTTGGGCACAGAAACTGCATTCCTATACTAGGGAATATTTTGGAAATCATATTGAAATTTTGAAACCTGGAAATATTTTTTCACTCAAAGTTGAGTAATTGATTGTCAACATTAATTAGCTCATTCAGGCTCAGGAGCAGAGGTATTTTTTATCTAGGCGTTTGTCGGGGAATAAATATTCTTCCTAATTATTGCATTTCGTGGAGGGGCGAAAAAACAGTCAAATTAGTTGTCATTGTTACCGCAAAAGAAACAAGTAAATTCAATCACTTTTTTTTAAAAATCACTCGCGCAAGTCAAATTTGTAAATCAAAAATAGCATTCTGATTTTAATTTTTCAATGCCTTTCAATTTTTCAATACTTTTCAATTTTTCAATGCTAATAATTCAATGCTTATAACTTAATTTCATAAAAACACGTTCGAAATTTAATTTAGTTCAACCAAGCATTCTAGTGACATGTTTTGGAATGTGGACTTTGTTCGTTCACAATGCTTCGAGTTTCCTGACGTAGAATTATGCCGAAGAAAACAATTTTATTCCATGCAGGCTGCGATATTTACTTTCATTTCATTTTGCGTTTGCTTTGTCGGAAAGCCAAACTAATTACAGACAAATTTTAAACTTTTGATTCAGTCGTTGCTGAATGTTTAAACTTTTATCTCGGTTACGGACTCATCTCGGTTACAGACTCATTTCAATAACAGTAACTTCTGAAATTTTCATCCGTCTGAGTTTTATACGCCTGTAATTGTTCAATTATTAGATAACTAATTTCAGATAATCAATTAATGTAATAACATTTGACAACAATATGGTCACTTGAAACAAGTACTGTCAAATTTTTTATTTTTAAAAATCGTAAACTTGAATTCATAAATGAGTTTTTGCTTTTGATGTGATCATTTCCGAGACAATTAATTGAAAATTTATGCATTAAATACTTAGCAATAAATAAATTAATATCGATTAATAAAATTCAACACAAATTCGTATTTCAGATAACATTAAGGTGACACTCATTTCTTCCCGTAAACAATAACAAATGATTAAAAATATTTACAGATACTTTGCTAACAAAATTTGGGTACCATCTAGCCTTCTGCCCAGTGGTCGCCACAATCGGCTTAGAATTATTCAGGATCTGAAAGGCCACCCGATCGAAATCAGCTTCTGGCCAACATTTATAATTTGCTAGGCTTTGTTTGGTATAAGATTCCTTAGTTGCCCCTTGTTATTTTGTATGTTATGAAGAAGTTTGTACATTAATCATAATTTTTCTGTACATTTCGTCATAACAATAATGTTTGATTTGAGTTTATTCTTTTAATTATTTTTTAGTCTTTCCTTTTATTTGAAATTGAAACTTACATATGATATTATTTGGCATGCTAAAAAATTAAAGAAACAGACTGAATTCAAAATGAGAATCGAGATGCACCGTACTTTCTTATTACGTATAGGAATAAGTAATTTGAAACGTGTGTGTTTTTAAAGAACTCCAATTGCGAATATAATGCTTCATACCTTTTAACTGATGTATCCTGCTATTAATCGGCTTTAACTGAACAATTTAAAATCAATATAGAATTTTTACAGAGTTTTTTATGTTCTCAAAAATTTTTTGCTCACAAACATGAGTAATGCTCTCAGCATTCACGAATTTCGAAACTTTACCATTTTCTCAATTGCTTCCTGTACTCCCAAGCTCCATTCTTTAGAGTGCACCTCGATCAATCCACGCTGTGGGCGCGCGTTGAGGATTTTAATTTCCGAGAGAGAATTCGACGATTCTTCTCTCATGAGCACTTAGTTTATTGCTGCTCTTTGAGGTCATGATTGCGCTCGGATTGCGTGCGGGTTGGTCTCTTGCACCAGGTCAAGCTCCAAGAAAGATTGCACCACTTCATTTTAATTATATTGTTATTTCCAGTTTAATATATATGTTTGTACGTTGAATTAAATGCTACATGCTGTTCACCCAGTTTAACTTTTATGTATGTAATTTGAATTAAATGCTACGTGCGCTTCATCATATTATTGGTTAACTAAGGCACCTGCAGACAAAAAATTTGAAGTGGTTTTCGTGTAAATTTTAAATTATGACATTATGAACGAATACAGTTTTTTCTGAACTTACCACATGTTTGTTATCAGCTTGCTTACAAACCTAACCGGACTTTCTTTCCGATTAAAAACTTTAATTATGTCGTTTGAGGGTTTATATACTGTCATCGCTCATCAGCATTACCTTGTGGCGTCCACTAGACGCCATAGGCGTCCACTAAACTAGGCGTCCACTAGACGCGTCAACTAGACGCGTCCACTAGACGTAATTATACCGCCACTAGACGTAATTATACCTCCATAGGACGGCTTCGTGCTGGTTGGGAGCGTGGCAGGCCAGAGGTACTGGTCCATGATGCTCAACATCCAGGCCGTCATCAGTGCTGGTGTCTACGCGCCTGATGATCAGCAGGTGACAAAATAAACTTCACAACATTTTTCACAACACCGCTATTTATAGTGAGATTGGAGTTCAATAAAGATCTATGCAATGGACGCCTACAGGTCAACATTGTCACGTGTACGTTCTTTACAATAAAGTTCTTGGAGATCTTTAAAAAAATGCAATACGCGCCTCCTGATCAGCAAGTGATATCAATGTCTTCATGGATTTCAATTCATTGAAGGTTAATTCATTTTATCCGCAAATTCAATCACATGAAGACTCAGTAATTCAATAGAAGGTTAATTCATTTTATCCGCAAATTCAATCACATGAAGACTCAGTACGATGATCTCGAAGGTTTTATTTGGATATATACATAGGTCGGCACAAGAACGCTTTCAAGCTCTCATTATTTCCGTTTATTCTCTGGAAAAAGTTGGTAGGGAAAATGAGATACAATTGCGGAAAAAATAAATGGTCAATTGAATCCAGTCTGCTGCAAACGCTTAAGATTTTTAAAAATTGTTGAGAATTCATCGGCACAAGTTACTTTTTGATAAATTCCATTTTATCACATTTTTAAAACACTTCAAAAAAACTTTAGATTTTAAAAGTCTAGCTAAGAAAGCCACAAAGTCATTAATAAAACTGATTATTACGCTCAATGTATTACTAAGAATAAACATAACTTGTCTCTGTTTTTACATTATTTTAAATGTTTTTCGTAGGTTTACTTTGGTACGAGCTCAGGGCAGCTGCTAGTTATGGACGTTCACGGGACGATGGTAGCACAAGTGACGCTACTCGAAGACACAGCCATCACATCACTGGCTTGGTCGTGTCAAAAGTTCAAGATGGAAGAAACAGAGGAAAGCAGGAGCAGCAGTGGCAGTGGAGGTGACAACGCAAGCGACAACTCCAACTCTTCCACAAGTAATGGTGGAGATGGTGCTGGTGGTGCTGGTGGTTCCTCTAGATCTCATAACGGCGCTGGTGGTAGTGGCAACGTTACTGCTTCTGGTGGCTCGTCCATACACCATTCCGTGGACAGTGCTGGGGATAATGGTAACAACGATGGAGATGATACTACCGGAAGAAATGAAAGTTCCACTAGATCTCACAATAACGTCACTAGAAGTAGTGGTAGTGGTGATAGTGAAGGGCGGGAAGCTGCCATTAATTCAACTGCAACCTCGGCTTCCTGCTCTGTCGATGAAGCTTCTTCTCAAACTCTTGGCGCTGAACGGCAAAGCGACGACCAACGAAGAGCTGATAATTTTAAGCCAGATTCATCAGCAGGTAAACAATATGATATGCCTAGTTTATTGCTTAAGAAGCTATAAGTTTACACATGATAAAATTAAATGTTCTCAAATCAATCGCCGTGCATACTTAATTTTTGGATCTACCAGGCGTTACAAGCCAATAACGAACATGACTATTGCTTTCCTTGTTTTTAAATCGACTTTTCAATATTGTTATATAATTCTCTATCTTTTAAATATTTACCTATACCTTAGCTCATTAAAATAATTCTCAATATAGCGTAATGTCTTGTTTAGTTGGGTTACTTTATAACACTGATTAGCAAAGTCTCTACCAGTTAAACAATTTCCATTACCCAAACACATGCAATTAATGTTCAATATAACATATTATCCTCTTCGGTTGTGTACACTCAACGATAGGTTACCTTCCTCCTGCAGGTCCTTCAAACAGAACCACCGAGAATGCCTCGGTTGGCGAGGGTTCAAGCAAAACCACATCTCATGCTTCCACCTGTCAGAGTCCTAGAACCACGAACCACCTGCTGAGACCACCAGCTGAGAACACTAGTAGTAACAGAAGTAGTCTTAGGGCGCCAACCAGCTCTAGTTCCCGAGTACCAGGTACCAGTGAGAACGAGAGAACAGCTAGTAGCAACAAGAGTGGTTCCACTTCAGCATCTGGTGCCAAAGGCGAAGATAGACAGCACCTTTTGGCAGTTGTTTTCTCTACTGGGAGAATATATCTCATCAAAAGTCATGACGATGTGACTCCTATTGTCATCGATACTGGCCTTGCGTGAGTCAAGCATTTATTAACTGTTATTTTTCACACCGATATTTAATATTGAGGTCAAATTTCGTAGCAGTGTCTCGTAACTTCAGAACGACTTTGTTTTATGAATGCGCTTACATGGTTTATATGAATTAAAAATGCATGAATTGTGCAAAGATTTAATAATCTCAAATTTGTCATGAATATAAATAATATAATTGTTCACATTAAATTTCAAGCTCCTCCAAATCGACTGAAGGGATGAACCGATTTTACTCCTCATTATTGTAAGCATGTTAAATTGCAGCTCATCAATTTTTTCGTTCAAATAAAGAATCTTGGAACAAATAATCAATATACTCACTTTGTGCCACTCAAAAAAAATTTTAGTTTCATGTTTTCAAACAAATCCGGTTTCATTGCAAACAATTACCACCAAAACGTGGTGCGCTCCATCTACTGTAAAATAGTACAAAAATTTGTAACATCAAATCTACAGAAAATTAATTAAATTTCGCTTTAAATTTTAAAATATTATTTATTGGTGCAGAGGCGTGCATGCCGAGTGGTCGAATTCGGCCGAGCTGCTTGCCACCGCCGGCCATTGGCAGGGCGACAGGCCGAGTGGCTCGTCAACTTCCATGGGGTCATCTTCGTCTGCAGGTTCATCATCCTCGTCGTCGTCTAGTGCCAACAACTCGGTGCCTTCGTCAGCTAATAAAAACAATAATACCAACAACAAATGTAACAATAACAATAATAGTAGCAGCCCAATTTTTCACAACATGATTCGTTTCTACACGAGAAACGGAACTTNTGTCTTGTGCGATTATAGTAAATGATAAATGAAAACAAATTTGAAACTAGCATATAGCATTGTTATTACATAGTTTTAGTCATGAGTTAATTTTTTTGTGGGCCTCATTTAGCAGTGTTGGTGCAACAATACCGATTTATTTTTCTAATAAATAGATAAATCGCAAAGAATTGCCTTGTTTTGGTTATAAAACCCTTGCTAGGCAATTCGTGTCAATGGGTTTGGCAAGCCGGGCTAGCCTACAATTATCGGTTTTGCATTATTGATGGCAGCGGCACCAATACTCAATAACATTAGCAGCGCCTTACATACATCAGCAATTTATAAGTGAAGTGCGTCGTAGCAGCTACTACATGATATTTTTTCGATTGAAGTTGCATATTTGCTAATGTTATGTCTTTATCTAAGCTCAAAAGCATCACGCGTATTGCATTTGTTTAAATTCGATATCAGTTTAAAAAAAATTGTTCAAATGTAGTTCTGTAAGCATTTTTTTATTACAGTTCATTGAAAATATTTTATTTCTTCTTTTCAAATTCATCTCAACCGTCATCTTTTTTTCTTCCAATCATGTTTGCATGCAAGAAAATGATTCAATTTTCACAACGACAAGCGCTTGTTTGTCGCTGCAGGACCTCAGCTTTACATCAGCAGAGTCTCGCGCAGAGTTGCATCGCTACAGCTTCTATGCAGGTGAAATTCAATACCTACATTATACAATTTCCCCATTGCCGGCACACTGCAATGAGAGGATAAATTGCAAATTTGATCCTCATGTTAGTGTTGAATTACGAAGCGCGCCCTAATAAATTTAACGTGTGCTAAAGAGCATTTCTTTATTAACGATATGTGTTTTGAATTAAAAAATTTACGAAATTTGAAATTTATGTTTTTCAAGTTTCTACGGAGTATTTCTTTATTGAAATTCAAACCTTAGACAAAATCAGATCTCACTTTTTCACGACTCGTCCTTATATTTACTCATTTTTTACAAGAAATGTAAACTATAACAACAGTATTACTTCGGTAAACTTGGGTGGAAAGTCTACGGTTTGCTGAACCCAAATTTAGTTTCAGATTTCAAATGGTGTAGATTTGTTATTTATTTTCAGAATCTATGTTTATTTCTGTTTGACTTGACATAGCCTCTGTTATGGTTCACCTACTTTCACTTGAGCAAATTATATTCAATTCATACATAGTACAATAAAGATACAACTTAATATAGGCAAACTCCCAATTAGAGCTTAACCTATGCACACCTCAATCTACATAAATAGAATTAAAAAAGCTTGTTGATATCCGGTTTTGAAACTCAAAATAAATCTATTTAATCCAGTATTTTTAAGCAAATATAAATTGATTATACTTGATACTAGATTAATATACTTTATACGTGATTATGAGGTGAAATTTTAATTATTTAATCAAAGAATAAAATTATGCATTGATACTAAAATATACTCCGGAAACAGGTAAAATCCCGAGATTATTGGTATTGTGGATACGCATTTTAACAAAGACAGTCTTCAAATAAACAAAAACACCTGTAAACTATCGGAAATGTAACACAAAATGTGATTTACTTTTCAAGATGAAGTAAAAGTTATACTAATTGGAAAATCAGGCACATAACCGCGTTTGTATTTGGAGTCGAAAGCGAATATTGTGCCGAATTTGGCTTGCATATTTTTAAAGATAAAAAGATCATATGCGAATTTTTAAATTGAATACAACAAATAAATGCTATAAAACTTGTTTTATAATGTATTTATTTATGTATTTATAATGTATTTATGCTTAATTCGCCGAATAGAGAAAAACAATAAGAAAATTGTCAATAAGAAATACTCTCTGATCTTCAATGAAACCTGCATTAATGTATTTATGTATACGTATTTCCGTATGCAATAGACTGTCGGTGAAGGAAAGAGTTCGCAGCGAGCCGCAGCTTCCTTTGCTGCCGCTGCCACGACGTCTTCAAGCGCAGCTCAGTCCCCTCTACAGCCACACAATCAGGGTCTGAAATGATGCAAAACATGCATGAAATTTCTATTAAAGTTTCAGCTACTTCCTAGTCCCTAATTCAGACCAAATTTATTATATTTAGCGAATGTTGCTTGTTGAAGCCACGACGTCTCCAAGCGCAGCTCAGTCCCCTCTACAGCCACACAATCAGGGTCTGAAATGATGCGAAACATGCATGAAATTACGATAATGTTTCAGACTACTTTCAAGTCCACTTATTCAGACGAAAATATATCATATTCAGCGAGGATTGTTCGCTGATTTGGAAGATGAAATTTAAAATTGTGTCATTTCGTCGTATGAGTAAAAACACAAAAATAATGACGATATCCGTTGGAAGCTACCGGGGAACTTTCAAATATCAACTCCTACATTATAATGATTCACCATTTTATTATTTAGTGGTACTGTTACTGAACCGAAAAGAGTTTCTTCCTTATGTATATCTTTTCAAAATAAAGTTTACAACATCTAGTACTAGAACTTAGACAAAAAGGATTGAAAAATAGCTTTAAAATTGTATCTGAACAGTTTTGCTATTTTATTTCATTCCAGAGCTCAAAGCTTGTTAATTCATAAATCATAACCTAATTTAATTAGTCGAACTAACTTTGCAAGCCCTTCATTTTCCCGTAATTTCTGTACTTTTTTCCCAGGGTTACGTGCCAGATCCACTCCAGCTTCGTGACTTCGTCTGTCGACCTCCGTCCTCCTGCCATCGTCTGCACTGTACTATGATACGCCACGACGAGGATCTCATTCCCACACCAGGGACGTGTTACACTCTGTACCTGGAGTACCTTGGTGGCTTGGTGCCACTACTCAAGGGCAAGAGAACGTCCAAAATAAGGCCTGAGTTCGTCATATTCGATCCTCAGAGTGGTGAGTCCATCGCAACATTAGGGGGTGCTTTTTGAATAACAAATATTTTCAGTCATTTTATTATGATTGATCAAAGATATAATAAAATGTTTACACTGTAATTCGGATCAATTAACTTGTGTTAAATAAGGCCAGAGTTCGTCATATTTGATCCTCAGAGTGGTGAGTCCATCGCAACAATGTTTTCAGTCATTTTATTCCAATTGATCAAAGATATAATAAAATGCTTACACCTTAATTCGGATCAATTAACTTGTGTTAAATAAGGCCAGAGTTCGTCATATTTGATATTCAGAATGGTGAGTCCATCGCAACATTAGGGGATGTTTTTGAAGAAAAAAAGTTTTCAGTCATTTTATTTCAATTGATCGAAGATATAATAAAAGGTTTACACTGTAATTCCGATCGATTACCTTGTGTTTTTGAGGTGTTTCCTAAACTAATATAATATTCATTGAAAACGATTTGAAAATATTGCGAATTCATGACAGTTTATCTCGAGAAAGTCGCAATTACAATTTATCAAACAGAGAATTTTTGATCTTAGCGTCCAATTTAAGAAACCATAAGTGAAGCAAACTTCAATTCATGTTGGGTCATAAATCTAGACAGCATTTGTGCAAATTTGTGCAAAAGTATGAGCAACCATTTTGCCACAGTGTTGAAACTCTTGAGCTTTAAAAATCACCTATTATTTTTTTTTGCATAATCGAAACCAATAAGTTTTTCGCCTTAATCGAAACCTCACGCTCCAACATCAATGTGACCGCACAGAAGAGCCGAGCCCGCGGCCGTCCACAGGCTCCCACGCTATGTCTGGTGGAGTCGGAGGAGGCTCGGCCGCCGGTGGGGCGGCGCTGGGGCGACCGCTGAGCGACTCCTCCGACACTGAGCACGAGGACATGTGCGCCTCGCCGCGTCTGCAGCGCCGGAGGAAACTTAGGAGAAGGTGGGAGAAGACGTTCCGAATCGAAAAATTTATGATTTTTTAGCTTAAGTTGAGGTTGATGGACTTAATTAATTAATCATCTTTGTTTACGATTATTTCTAACAAGAACTTGGTTTAAACTGTTTTATTCATATTAATTTAATCCCTTGATTCGGTTTAATATTGTACGGAAATGTGAAACTCATTATATTGCCTAATTCGATTGTTTGACGTCATTAAAATGTAAAAATTATTTCAAGTTCATTAAAAAAAAATTACATATTATTTGCGCTGTAATGTGAAAATGTCATTGATCAATATTTATGTGCCATTTTGTAGAAAATCTAAACCTAATTTTTCTTTCCATATTTTCTTTCGGTAATTCTTTTTTTTATTTTTCTCGTATGGAAAGGTGAGGACACAATTCAAAGTTAAATCAAGAATGTTGCTCGGGATTCGTTAAAAGCCATACGTTAACTGTTAATTAAATAAATATATTCTGTACAGAATGCGAGAGCGGCTGGAGAGCGAAGCCGACGACCTGGTATATCTTGACACCCTGCCTGAGGTGAGTGAGTTGGTAGTCTGATGGGAGTCTGCTTTAGGCAAGTCTGCCTGAGTGTGTAGTCTGATGGGAGTCTGCCTTAGCCAAGTCAGCCTGAGTTGGTAGTCTGATGGGAGTCTGCCTTAGCCAAGTCAGCCTGAGTTGGTAGTCTGATGGGAGTCTGCCTTACGCAAGTCTGCCTGAGTTGGCAGTCTGATGGGAGTCTGCCTTAGGCAAGTCTGCCTGAGTTGGTAGTCTGATGGAAGTCTACCTTTGGCAAGTCTGCCTGAGTTGGTAGTCTGATGGGAGTCTACCATAGTCTGTCTGCCTGAGATAAGTCTGACGGAGCTGTGTGTACCTGAACTGAGTTCCGGGAGTCCTCCGCCTCGAACTCTCGCTTGTCACATCACCCATGCGGTTTCTTCTATCCAGATTAACGGTTTTTCTACTAGCCCTAATATGGAGACACATTGATTTTTGTGAGTATTAGTTTTGATTCCAAATTTTCATTTTATTCAAATTCTTCAGCATTAACTTCTTCATTCTTGAGAGAGCTTCCGTAGTCACGTGCACGAGATTTCTTTTTGTTGATGTTCACGCATCTCAGCTACGCGTGAGGTGTCGAACTTAGACAACACTTATTTCTTTCCTGCTTTCTCTATTTTGATGGTACTTTGATTCTTTCATTCATTAGGCAATTGTGAATAAATGTTACTTCTCTGAGTGATAGATCTATATCTTGAGTGCAACTGATCTCTTAACACAATATATCTGAAATAACACGATTCTCTTCAACATGCATTACATGCCTTCGTTGCCCAAAGACAAATGAAAAAAATTTAAATATGGCTGATTCAGAGATTTTCTTGGTCTCTTGGATGACAGACGATGGAAGTTTGATTATTGTGTGCGATATGTTCAAATTATAGATTTAGTTGGATTGGGTACAAATGAAAGGTAAATAAAAGTAATTTTTAAACTGACAACGCAGGTTAATTTTTTAAATAATATCTAAAAAGTCTTAATTAAGCCTTTTATACTTTGAATTTCCACCTGTGGAGGTTAGTTTTTTAATGATATTTTAAGAGTCACGAGCCTTTTTTAAATTGAATTTCATTTTGCAGCACAATAGACTTGTTGAAGTCACATCAAACATCTGGGGCACAAAGTTCAAGCTTCACGGAGTTGCGTCGTCACTCCCTCCCAACCTGGTTTTCTGATTTTTAGATCAATAATTAAATATTTTTGAACTAATTGTCCCACTTCAACGAATCCCATATTCAATTAATTTAAGTAACATCAAATGTCCTAATTCCTGCTTCGATCTCAATTGAAAAATTTCCATTATTTCTACAGAAATCAGATGTGATACCGTTTGAAATCTACAGTCGGTTTACTGATACAACTTGACGTACCTAACACCGAGAATTACAGAATTGTTTTTTGCGATGCTCATATTACATCATTTCATTCTTATTAACCTGCTATAAATCTAATACTAGCGCTTTTGATTTAAATCATCTTAAAGATTTCTGTCGCTATGCATATTTTTTAGCGCATTTTCTCATTTATGGAAAAAAGGCGCTATTGTGCTCGCCGTCTGTCCGTCTGTCTGTCTGTCTGTCTGTCTGTCTGTCTGTCTGTCTGTCTGTCTGTCTGTCCGTCCGTGACTTCGCGTTTTCGTCGACGAGAAAATGCGCTCTCTGTCACTCACTGCATTGAGTACTGTGTTATATATATTTTTTATTTTGTGAGCCGACAGCTCCCGTCCGCGTGATCTACAGAGCACAATTATTACTAGCTGATGCTCGCCAATGACTCTGGGTGCCTAATGTAAAATAAATTTTGTATCAGTATGTAGATTTAGCTGATTTTGTTACGAGGAGTTTTGCTCATTCTAGAATACGATGAATTGGACGCGTGCTATTACTAGTAAGTCTTGAGTCTAATGTGTTTCAATGAGTATAATTTGTTATAACGCGTTTTCGGTCAGCTATTATTTTGTTTTCACTAGATCATCATAGTCTCCTTAAATCCATTTTTTAACACGTTTTTCTTAGCTTAGCTTCGCGTTTGTTTGTTTGTTTGTTTGTTTGTTTGTTTGTTTGTTTGTATGTTTGTTGTTAACATTGACTCCGACCCTTCCTTCAATCCAAATGTCTTCTCGGAAGATGAAGAAGATATTGGTGAGATCTTGCGGACATTTATGCAGCTTTTTATAGGTTGAATTTGGTAAAGTGTAACTGCGTGACATCATATATCGTTTTATATAGACGATATACGATGATGTATAATAAGACAACAAATATAGATATTATACGCTATGGCTTCTGGCTGTGAAAATTTTAACATTGTGAAATAATTATAATTATTATAATATAGTGAAAATTTAGTTAGAAGTTATATTTTATTGCTTTAGCGATGAAAGTTAATGATTTCGGTTGCTGCTACATCTCTCACAAATGTTCACGTTATCTTGTTTGAGGATCTAATTACGCACAGCCTAAGCGGAGAGCCCCTTTATATTAAAGCCTAGTAAATGACTCAAAAGGTACATTAATTTGATTTGTTCTGCGGCAATATGTTTCGCATCAATTTTATTTGTCTCGGAATTTTATTTTAATAATTATTTTGTTTAGCGGTATTTTATAAGCATTCGTATGATTTTTATTTACGTATTATTATGATTTTTTCGTATTGAACTTAAAGTAAAAAGTTCAATAATTACCCAAGTTCTCAAACCTATTCGTATAGATATCCTCTTGTTCTATGATATAAATTGAGGGAGATGACCCTCATCTCTTTTTTCTAGAACCTACGTCCTCGAATATTCTCTAATTAGGTGCAAAGATCACTCGATTGCTTGAATCACAAATTTATCAGGGATTTAGAAGCAGAAAAAACAGCACATAAATTCATCACATCTTCACATAAGAAGACGTTTTAAGAGTCCAGATCTAACGTCAGGTCGAAAATTTTAGAACGATATTAGGATGAATTAATAAACCAAAATTCACATTGCAGACATTGAAACCTAAAATACTTTTCTTTTTAAGCATAACTGATATTTTGTGCCGTTTTCTTGCTGGATTTCTTTACTGTATATGTCTCAAGCAGGATTGCATTTTCAGATCGCGAAAATCCGGAAGGGTCAGCGTCCCTACCTTCCGATGTTCCTCCTATCGCACCTATGACTCCCCGTCGCACGCCTTCTTCTTACTCCAGACACGATATGATTACTCCGTCCCCTTCGCCTTGGGATGCAACCTCCACCGAGGAGGCGTCCGGTAACACAGCAGCTGCTAATAAAGCAGCAGAAGATTATACAGTGAATAACCCGCGTGGAAGTCATCTTGAGGAGCCAGTCCCTCAAGATGACGACGATATTTACGTAGAACTTTCAGCGCCTGAAATCCAGCATGTAAGAGAAGCGCTGTGTCAAGAAGCTAAAAGTAGTGCAAATCTCACTTCGTCTGATGGAAGTCATGTTCGTTCGCAACACCTCGGTCACGTGCCACTGAACACGATGCATTCCGTATCCTCTGTTAGCTGTGATCAGAGTCCTCCCACGAGTCTTCCGCCGACTCCATCCAGATCTCCATCTCGATTTTTCGATTTTGATAGAAAAAAATTCTCCACTAGTAGACCTCTCGATGTCGAGTCTGCCTTAGCAACGACCAGCAAATTTTTTAGATGGGATTCCAAAGAAGGTAGAAAAAAGACGACCACCGAAGCTCTGCTTCGTCAACTCAATACCCTCACGGTGGCCGCTCCCACTTCTCCGCGTCTACATGGCTCATCAGGGCTTCCACATCCCCAGTCCTCGCTCCATGTAGGCCCAAGTTCTAGCTCTGCAGTGCAACCTAATGAAGTTGCCAACAAACTGGGTCCACATCAAGCACTTGTGAGTTAACAATTATCTTAAGATTATTTGAGTGGCTAAAACCGTATTTTTTTAACTTATTTGAATTCTTTACTACTATGTTTACAATTCCTGTGTGACTAATTAAACTTGCACTGATTTTTATTTTACTTGAAGTGAGAAACTCACGATCAATAAATTCTTAACCTCCCTCATGCTCGTTGTTGTGTTTTCGTGTTGCATTTATCTGTGGAGTATTCGGTTGGTGCAAAGAAATTAATTATTTTCTGTTCTTATAATTTAGTCAAGGAGGGTAAAACGTTCCTTCTAAATTTGCATGAAACTCAAGTCTGTGACGCACTTAACGTTGTACAGACATCAGCAGACAGCAGGCTAGAAGTGATCCGTTTTATCGACGAAGAAAGTGGAGAGTCGGACTCCCGATCCTTCTCTCCCTCTCCCGCACGCACGACACCAAAAACCCCTTCCTGCGGCTCGACGTTTTCTTCTGGCGGCGGTACGCTTGCATCGACCATCGCCACTTCGCTGGCTAACACCTTCAACGGCGTCTCGACCTCTCCTCGCCGGCGCGCTCGCAGCAAGAGCGTCGGGCAGCTACAGGCCTTTGAGGTCATCATGGCTGCCTCTTCTAGTCTCTCCGCTTGCGCTCCAAAGTCAAACACTGCAACTGTTGCTGAAGTTTCACAGGGGCCGTTCCATCAAGTGCAATTAGCGCAACATGTCCACAGCTTACAGCAGCTGACAACCGTGGATGCCTTCCTTGCTTTTCGACGAACCATGTCGCTCAAAGACGGAAAGAAGGTTAGCAAAATAGTTGTTTTATATTGGCCCTTTCACGAATCTGATCGTTAAAGTCAAGCATGATCATTGATTAATTATAATCTCTGTACCAGATAGAAAAATATTCGATTTTCTAAATCTAAATTGACAACACTTGAAAGCTTTTAAATTCAAGAAAAAAACACAAATCGACATTCGAGACTTATTTTTGATATTTTTTAATGCTGCCCGGGACCAAGTTGTTTACGAATCAATTGAGTTATGTAACCACTTTAATTACTACTTTATTTTTTCAGGGCCGTGCTTTGAACGGCATTACGTGGCCGAAGTTACAGCATTACGGTAAAAGCCGCAGTCTCGATTCTTCTCTACTTCTGCTCACAAAACGGAACCTTCTGCTCAATACAATAAATACCCTCAATGCAAATCAGCAACAGAAAAATGCTACCATAAACGACGACGATAGCAAGCTTATCATCACCAGCAACAACAACGCTCATCATCACGACAGCAGCGTAACCACCAGCACATCACCCTCCGAGAGCGCTTCCTCTACTTCAGTGGGTTTGGCAACTCGAAGCCCGCAAGCTCAGTGTTTTCGTTCTGAACACAACCCATCAAAACAGTACCCCTGCAACAACATTAAAATTTTACCAAAATCACATCTTAGGCACCAAAGTCCTTCTCGTTCTCCTCTGTGTGACGACCGTAGTAGCGTTCTGAAATTTAAACCTAATAGTCAAAATAGCCAACTTCCATCGTCACCAAATAGTACTTCCTCTCTTTTGAGAAGACTTCCGGCTGGCGTGATTGGTCATCGAAGATTTAGTAGCCAATCAAATTTTGTACCCGATTCACTTCGGAAACCTAATTTCTGTCATCAACGTCAGCACAGTTTAGGAAACGCATGTGTCGCACAGACTGTAAAAATGTCGTCGGAAACGAATGAGCTAGCAAGACCTGCCCATCCATCATGTGCAGCCCTTAATTCATGTTCAAATTATGACTCGTTGGAAAATCTGAACAGTTTGTCAGACCCTCAGTCCTGTGATCATCCTAAATACAACAATAACAAGATATTAGGGAACCGTATCGATTCGTTTAGTAATATTACGAGCACATGTGATGTCATTGGAAGCGATTGCACCACGAAAACTTTTGATGGTAATTCTAACACCAGAGTTGAAATTAATCACCCACACTCTCCCTCCCTGCACCCCCAGCACTCTCATCACCATCACAAAGTTTACCAAAATCATTACCAGCACTATTACCACAATTCTTCGTTGCGTGTGGAGACTCTTGAGCGGCAGCAAGCGAAGGGACTTAAGGTACTTAGATTTTCCCTTTAATATTTGTAAGCTTTTGGAGTCAGGAAGGTAGATTATTTCTCTGTTGAATCAAATTTTACAATTTTGATTGGATACAATTGCTGCTTGAAGGTAAAAAACAGCATTTTATCTAGTGTTATCGAGATTAAATCAAGGAACTAATTTTCACTACTTTTTACATATAATCTGGGAATTTCGAGCACGGAATATTTCTCGATCAGTGAATTTTATGTAATTATCAGATACGTTTTCGGTAATATTTCACCTGTTCTACGAAGTTTACTTCTTCAACCATCAAATCTACAAATTGCATTTTTGGCTTCAAGATCTCATTCGTCTCAAATCAAAATTTTTCGCAAGATTCTTAATAAATAATGTAGATAGCCTGCATTTTAGCTTAGGTTTCTAATGGAATTCATTAAATTATTTCTTTCAAACTTGCTATCTTAATTTGTGTGATGAATTTTTTGTGTTTAGGAGAGCGCGTTAACCGAAAGGTTGGCCATCCTGCAGCGTCAATGCTCATCTCCTTCACGTCAACCTACCGCGTCTCCAACTCGAAGTCCACCAACGCCTTCTCGCCTCCCGCCAACTCCATCACGGGTACCGCCACTTCCTCCTCCACGTACCCAGCCAACTCAAGCACGTGGTCCTCCAACTCCTACGCGAACACCTCCTACTCCTACTCATGGGCCTCACACATCTCCTGCCCACCAGTCTCCAAACCTCACGATGCGTCCTCCGTACCCTCAACCTCCTCCAACACCACGACACACGCCATGCTCTACTCCTGAGAGCCAAAGACGCGCTCTGAAGTACAGTCAGCACCCCCCACAGTCGCCTAGAAGACACGTTTACGCTCAATTGCACACCTCGTCTCATAATAACCGAGCTCAGTATCCGGGATCACCACCATCTTCTTCCTCATCTTTAGTCCGTTATCATAACAATAGTCAAAATTCCCACTGCCAATGTACCTCAACTTACGGCGACTCGTCCAGTAGAAATGACTGTTGCAGTAGTCACATGAGGGAGAACAGTTGCCGCGAAGTCGGGTATTGTGTATGTAATGACAACGATGGTGTGGGAGGTGATCATGGTGCTGGTGAAGACCAAGGAACTTCCGTAGATGTCTCCTTATGTCATGGATCAAAGAGTATTCCCAACACTCCTGCCAGGTCCCGCAAGCAACGCCGACATCAATCCTCTTCTCCGATCAGGTGATGATTATTCAGTAGGAGTCTGAATTGATTAGGTCTAAGCTAACAGGTCAAATGCTACTACGCAAAAACTAAATGTAACGTCTATCGTAAATGCTACATTTAATTAAAGCACGAATAAAACAAATGGTCAAAATCCCTAAATGGCTGCACCGGTTAGATTTAGCACACAACGTATACATGGAAAATTCGTATTGTAATATGACTTGAGTTAGACGATGACATCTGTAAACTATCCCTTTCAGCGGGAACATATCTTGGATGTCCCCTGCCCTTAGATGATGGTACTAGAGATTAGGCCTCAAACAAGTTGTGCGTAGTGTGTATACCAAATTCTCACTTATAATTAATTCAATTAATATTACTAAAGTTCTTTCAAACTGCTTGTACATGGGCAAACGGATTCAAAGAAACTCGAGCATAAAAACTGGTTGAACATAAAGGCACACCTAATTCATCAGGGCAAATAATTATTTTTACGTATTAACATGAGCGCACGACCATAAAAGACGAATTAAATTAGAAGTGCATCTAATATTAGAAGGTAAATAAATGATCATTTCTCTTAACACTGCACTTGCCAGCATAAAAACTGGTTGAACATAAAGGCACACCTAATTCAGCAATTCAAATAAGTATTTTTATGTATTAACATGATTACACGATAATAAAAGACATTAAAGTACATACAAGTGCACCTGATATTAGAAGGTAAATAATCATTTCTCTTAACACTACACTTACCAACATGAAAACTGGATGCAAATAAATGCTCACACTGTTTTGCGGGCCAAATTGCTATCTCTTACAATATTATTTTTCTACGTAACACCAACATCAGTTTTTCCTAATTGACCCTCTGTTATCATCGGTCCTGCAGGAAGCACATCCTGAGCTCGCCCTTGTTATCGCGGCGGCGTCAGCGACGTGGAGCTGTTGAGAGTTCAGACGAAGAGTTGCTGCACTGCTCCAGTGACGCTGAGATCTTGTGCTCCTCTTCAAACTACCGTGACCTCGAGACCTTCCAAAAGACTCAGCTCAGAAATAAGGTAGAGTTTATATCAGGTTATTTTATCAGGTTATCATCTTTTTCATGTACATTATTAAACAGGTTATTTTTCTTTTCATGTATATTTTTCTAATTCATATACCATGGCATTGGATTTTGCATTTGGTATTGAATAACAATTATTATCATTATTTATTAAACCAGCTTATTACTAGCGGAGAATTATGTCCATTTTTCGAGAATCAAAATATTTATTTAATTCAACCGAGCTGTGACATGCAAGTTAATCTTTAACATGCGAAGCAATGTTCCTAAACTGTGATACACGTGGGTGATATTTCCATGAAGCCATTGCTATACAATTTTTATTTCCAGTTCATTTGATGAGTGGTTGACGTAGAAGACATTTCATAACATAAAATGTTTCAAAATTCAGAAAAGTGCCGAAACATCCGACCAAATGTGTAAAATGTTGAAGTTCTAGGAAAAAATTAAGGATTTCCGGTAAAAATCCATCCTAGTCTTTGTGAATCTATTCCAAATTCCGGCGGTGAAACAAGCAACGCTATATAAACAGAGGAAATACTTAAAGCCAATTTAGGTCTTTAACTACATATTTCAAAATGTTTTATTTTCGTGCGACTGAAATTATTTCACACAAAACACAAGGTTCGAAACATGAAGCTCGTGGCAAAAAGTAAAATGAATGAATAATGCGACCAGAAATGTTTAATATCTTCTTTAAACCATTTATTTTAACGTTAATTACATTCAAGTATTTACAAAACAGTGCATTAATAATATTATTTTAGCTGTTTTTTAGCATGAAAATTCTGTCTCCAGTTGCGGCGGTCGCGCGGACGCAGTGACGGTCTAGGGACAGGGAGCTGGGGAGGCGGGGTGTCATTTGGATGTCCAAATGACGTCACAATAAATGCTCCTCCACCTCCCCCACCAATCCCCCGACACAAACAGTTCATGATGCACAACAAAGCTCCATTTTGGAACGACAACTCGCAGGTCTATCAATTGGACTTTGGTGGAAGAGTAACGCAAGAATCAGCAAAGAATTTTCAGATTGAATTCAATAATTCTGCTGTTCTTAACCGCCCGGCCTCCTCGCCGATTCTGACCAGAAACTGACGCACAGAGCTGGGATCGAACCCGCGCCTCTCTGCGCCAATCCTGATACTCTGAACTTTAACCACTAGGCCACCCTGCCTTATTGCTGTATTGCCTTCTGTATTATTGCTGTCTTTTGCGAATTAGCCACAATTTTACCACGTCCGCGCGTGATTTACTTTCGTTCGTGACCAATCCATGACAAATTCTCAATAATGTGGACGGAAACCGAGCGTATTCTTGAATTATGCGAGCATTTTATCAAGAATAACTTATATCTAAAATAAAATAGTGAATTATTTATTGCTTTGTTAAATTTTTAGTCTTTTTTGATGTCCCTCCTTCGAAGGTTATGCAATTCGGGCGCATAGACGGGAATGCCTACACTTTAGACTTCCAGTATCCCTTCAGCGCCGTGCAGGCCTTCGCCGTGGCTCTGGCCAACGTCACGCAGCGACTCAAGTGATACAAACTGCATCCTGAAAACACGGTAAGCAACCAACAGCGCATGAAAATCCGGTGAGTAACCAATGGCGCCCTGAGGACACGGTGAGTAACCAACAGCGCCATGAAAACATGGTGAGTAACCAAGAGCGCCCAGAAATACACGGTGAGAAACCTTCAGCGCCCTGAAAACACGATGTCAATGAGTAATATAATGCCTTTATTACTGAAAACACGGTGTAATATAAATGCTGGGAACGGTCAGCTTAAGCAGTTTTTAGGTGTAGAATAAATAATTAAACTGCGATATGTGTTTGAGTGGATATTTTAAACCGCCTAACATAACTTCTCTTCTCCAGGACACGTATAGCCACAACGTCGTCATCCTAGAGTTTTGGTAACAATCGACGAAGAGCTCCGTTTTCTTTGTTATCACGGCCTCCGTTTTCTGTGTGCGCTTGTAAGGCTAACTACTGTGTAACACTTCTTCCTCTCTGTGTACGTAATTCCGCTGCTATCGATGTTCTTACCTACTATAATAACAGCTTCATCAGAGATTGAGATCCAGCATATATGGTTTTGGCTTCATCTATAATTACGATTCAAAGTAATTATCCTGGCTTGCAGTTTTCTAATATTAGGTTTTCGCAATATCGGCTAAGATAGTAAAACAAATAATGTAATAGTAAAACTACCTGTAAGAAAGAGGCTCAGCTCAGCCTCAGCTGCCCGGTGACGTACGGAATGGTGTGCGAGAGGACACGAAGAAAAAATTATGAATTATTCATTAAACATCAAATCTGTTCAAATTTTGATCATAATGTGGAACTGTTGACGATAAATCCTATACGTTTCCATCATATTAGGTTCTTTACCGTGCTCAAGAAGACGTCGGATTTTACTGTATAAAGGCACGATTCATCATCCATGGGGTTTTACGATATTTTTTAAATACTTCACGGTAATATGTGGCTAGCTGACTTGTATTGGCCAATGCAAAAAAAATGTCTAATGACAAACAATCATATTCGAACTGTTATACAATTGAAATTTTCATTTATTGGACAATTTCCTAATGTGTTTACAATTGTTGACACCAATTCACTAATTCGTTTCATACTAATCAACTGGCCTGCAAAGTCTACTTTCGCCCACTATACAGATAAACCGTTCATTGATCATTTCCAATGTATGCAATCGTCATTTCGATGCGATCGATAGCTGATCGTTCATTATTTTCAGAGCCTGAAGAGAAAGTACGATGTAGTCATAATGAACATATCATCATCATCAATGAACAAGTGAATTAAAAGTGACATGTTGACCTACGAACGATATTGGAACTCCAACTCCTAGTGTACATTTTTTTTGTCTAGCGCTCTTTCGTGTACAGTTATCGGTGAGTTGCGAACTCCGCCCTATTTTTGTGATTTGTGTGTCTTATGGTATTTTGGGGATTGTATATGTATCATTGCCAATAATATTTAAGATTATTTGCCAAGCCCACCTTATCCGTGTTCTAAATTAGAAAGGGCAAGCAAGTTAAACAAACAAGTCTAAGTAATCCTGCACAGTTCGGGATCTTTCCGAAGTGCTCGAAAACTAAATTACATATTTCATCATCCATTAAAATTATGCTGTATAAGTCAATTCCAATCCCAACAATGAATGAAAACTTTCCATTATTTCAACCGAAATTAGGTGAAATACCGTATGAAATCTACAGTCGGTTTACTGATACAACATGACGTAACTAACGCCGAGAATTATAGAATTATTTTTGCGATGCTCATATTACGTCATTTCTTTCTTATAGTAACTTGCTACAAATTCAATACTAGTGCTTTTGATTTAGATCAACTTAAAGATTTCTGTCGCAGCTATATGCATATATTTAGCGCATTTTCTCATTTATGGAAAAAAGGCGCTTTTGTGCTCGCCATGCCCGTCTGTCCGTCCGTCTGCCCGTCTGTCTGTCCGTGACTTCACGTTTTCGTCGACGAGAATATGCGCTCTCTGTCACTCACTGCTGTGAGTACTGACTTATATTTATTTTTATTATGTGAGCTGTCGGCTCCCGTCCGCGTGATCTACAGAGCACAATTATTACTAGCTGATGCTCGCCAATGACTCTGGGTGCCTAATGTAAAATAAATTTTGTATCAGTATGTAGATTTAGCTGATTTTGTTACGAGGAGTTTTTTACGAGGAGTTTTGCTCATTCTAGAATACGATGAATTGGACGCGTGCTATTACTAGTAAGTCTTGAGTCTAATGTGTTTCAATGAGTATAATTTATTATAACGCGTTTTCGGTCTAATTTGTCACTAATTAATTCTAATTAGTGACTAGTGACTAATTGTCACTAGTCACTAATTTTTTTTCACTTCAGCGTTTTAGATTTGCTTCATAGTTGGATAATTAGTAAAAAGCGTCAGGCAATCGCTCAATGGTAGTTTGAAATCAATTTTAACGCTTTGAGTTACATTAACATTGTGTGATCCCTTCAACTATTAAGGGGCCGAGTCAGCATGCAACTTTTGTTATAGACATGCTTGACTTCTAAGATTTCTGCAGTGTATTCACATTATGGCGTTCTTGAGTATATCGGCCAGGAACAAGTTGAAACATTAAGCCATCTTGTTTAGTGCGTGTTGTATCAGCAATGAGCTATGAAATCGCATCTGTTTTAATCTGAAGACAAAACATTTTTTAATCTGAAACAAAACAATCATTATACATTTGACCTAGTCATAATTTTTCGTTTTTTGGACGAGAGATTAACCAACCTACTCGCAATGAGGCATATAAGCTGACCTCTCCATGGTTAATTTTGCGAAGCGTCATGGAAACAACATCACAGCACATCAAGACTATCATCAATTATAAATATTTGTCTAGGTTTGCGAATGGCAGAATTAATTAAGGAAATAACTATTGCTGGATACCAGTTCTGCCAGTTTGGTATTTGGTCATAACAACCATTGATTTATTATTTTCCTAGAAGAAATTTTCTAGTGAATCATACAGCTAGGTACCAAAGAATACAGTTAGTTCGATATTCAATTAAAGTAAGTTTTTAGTGGTCATAGCATTAATTTTATAGCATATTTGCCTGTTCCACGAGGAATAATTATTAATCATTAAGACTGACAATGGGAGTCCTGTTTTTAGTGATACAAACTCCTTCGCAACTCAATTTAATGCCAGCTGCACGAAATAAAGTGTCTTGCAATCAATCTTGAATTGTTAAATAAGCTTTTTACTCCGTGTTAGTGATTTGGAGCTTTGTAAACCCTGGGGTTAATGTTTGGGTTCTGCGATTGATTTTCATGCGATCGGGTTTATTTGATTGCATGAAATCGTTGATGAATAAAATTATTTTTCAATCTTTCAATAAAATCAACTTAAACTTTTACTTTTGGTACCAGATGAACTATATTAAAATGAACAACTGATAATACTCCAGTAGATATCTTACGTGATTTGTACATACGAATAATAATTTAAAAAGTTGTTTCTCAAGCAATCCATCTCAAAACTTATCTTTGCAACCTTTTTTCTATTTAACATTAGAAATGTTTTTGAGTAATTAATGAATTGCAACAAAATATCTAAATTATAAAATTTAACACCATTGTTTCTGATTTTTAGATCAATAATTAAATATTTTTGTGCTTAATTGTCACACTTTAACGAATGCATATTCAATTAATTTAAGTGACATCAAATGTCCTAATTCCTGCTTCGATCTCAATTGAAAAATTTCCATTTTAAATTTAACGTAAATTTATGAAATATTTATTTCATTTCAAACTGGTTCATTTTTCATTTATTCTCAAACTGGTGAATTGACCTGTAAAATTATTTGTATCTAAACAATAGGATTCACACACATTGCATTTCACTAGTAAATACTTGTGTGTATTGACATGTGTTCGTAATCAATAACGAGAGCTCACAGGTAAAATAAATGTCATCGATGAGATTAACTTTAAGGTTAAGATTAATTGGTGCACGTCGTGTGTCCTAACCGTCCCGTTCATTGTCGTGATGAGTTTTTCACCACCACGACTACCGTCAACAGCATCACAATCACAAACTCCATCACCATTATCACTTGTAGCGTCACCTGCACGGGGTGCTTAACGCCCGTGTGGCATTGTATCATGTAAAATTTATCGTTTTCTGCTGTTTCCTTAATAAAAATTTGCTGAAACGCTCGTCAAATAATTATTATTCTTTGGTCGACGATGCTTGAAAAAAAATGTGATTGATATCTGAATCATCGTTATATTATTAGGAATGTTCTAACAGATTCTGAAAGCACTCAGGTATTGCAACGCTTCAGATAAAATAGTGTCATATCACTGACACCTGAAATACGCATAATGGTTTTCAAAAAAAAAAGCTTCAGCACAATACAGAAAACATTGCACTATAATCCAACAGAAAAGTGGTTGCCGGAACATAAAAAATGTTCCACCAAATGTGGCAAAACCGAATTACAAATGCCAGTAAATCAAGTAAGTTAAATTTTATACGTACAATGATTATCCATCGGCGCTGTTCGATATAACTGATAGTACTTTGCTATGAATCTCATTTGTGTTGAACTTTGCTCAATTTCTGTGATATTTTAGAATGTCCTTTTATCACACTTGAAATTTTATGGTCAAACCCAGAGATAGTTGATAAAAGTATTTTCCTCGAAGTACATAAAGCGCTCAAAAATCAAGAAAAATATAATAGTAGCTTTACGTCATATTTCTTTAAAAATCGAAATGCAAATATTAAATAAAAATTTACAACGAACTTGAGCATGAACATTTTACATTCCATACAAACTTCGAAATCACTATGAAATTTTCTAAAGCTGATTCAAGACCGAAATGATCGTCAAACGCTCTGCTACAAGGCTTGGAAAAGTTTTTTTTAGAAGGGAAAATAAATAGTTGAATTTATTTAGCATGCAGTGCCTTTATTGGTGGTCAAGCACAAAAAAAACATGAAGCCTAAAGCACCTGAAAACGAGTGTGTTGATGAATTTTTTACCTCTATGTTCATGCACATTTATTTGTTTATAACTTTTCCCTACAATTTCTAACCATTAACCTTTTTATAACCATACCGTGTATTAATAAGGGCCCATGTGAAAATCTCTTCATTTTACCAACGTTTTATATAGCCTCAATACGAATTATAGGAGCACGGATGACAATCAATTATGGTTCATCGAACTGAAATATTCATCGTCGAAAGGAATGTGTTATTGAAATTTGAACGTCACCAATTATTGAATATGAATACTTTTTCCTCCTTCATGAACTGTGCCACGAAGCTAAATTTACAATTAATCATATCAACAATTGTAGCGCTGCTTGAAAAATTTACTAGTTTGTAATAACAATGTGTTTCTCGGTTTCATTTTACTGCGTTGGATTGTCTACGAATTCCACTTCGAACTATTAATAAAAATAATTGTAACAATTTGTTACAACTCATACATGAACAATGTATCCACGGTTCTTCATACAATTTTGCATCATCAATAAATCACCATCATCATCTTGTATCCTCAAGAAATCATATCATCATGAAATTTATAACACGCAACATAAGTTTCATTTATAACTTAACACGTGATTGAGATTTAATCCCAATCACATAAGTCGAAAATGATCCAAAATCCACTTAAGTGTGAACTGTATTACTTGTCCAGTGGAGCACAGAATTCAATACCACAATACAGTAGAGATTCCATCGTTGTCCGAAGAAGAAGCCCAAATTCAAGTCCAGTTTTTGCCGAAAATTGTTCAAGTTTTGTAAGTTTCTCCCTTGAGGGCCGACGCTAGCATCTCGGTGATGTTCTCAACGTCAGCACCGCCTTCGTCATAAGCCTGCATGTGAAAAAATACAGATGTAATCTTTTTTATATATTTCCATAAATTCGATGAGCAGGCCTTAATAGGCAATTGAATTGAGCAGATACAATTTATTGGCGCGCTCAAAACATCAATATTGAGCCGGTATATACTGAAAAGTGTTCATGAATACTTTTTTAGGTACAAAACAAAGTTATTATTAAATGAAATCTACATTAAGCTATAAATCTCTCTCTGAAAACATGTAGTCTCGCTTGAATGTAGATAAGTAACGCCGAAAAATTTATCAACGAGTGCAAGTAAAAACAACGCACGAATTCCAATTTCCTGACCATTCATATATTTGAACTTCGATAATGTGGATGATAACCGATCTGTTGATCATTTCATTTATCTATGAAAATGCAGGGGTGTACTGAACATATATGTTCTACACAATTTTAAATAACATGTACATCTAATAATACCTCGTTAAGCGAACATTCATCAGACCCTTTTCTAAATTTTTTTCAATGAAAGGTTGATTAGTATGGAAGTAATAACATCACTAGCTAAATATTTTACCACGTTAAAGTGGAATATAACATGAACTCTAAATTGGAAAGTTTAAAAGCCTGAAAAACAGACGCTAGTTTATTCCCGCAGAAATCCAAACGAAGAACAAATTAAACTTGGATTTGGCCAAGTCGCCTAATCTTTCCCTTCTGTACGATAACAGTGTAATCGATTTTTATCCCCGCACTCAAGAGGGATGGTTATAGAAATTAATTTCAGTGGCAAGACCATGAATCATATTACACCTATTCTCGAGCATCAGGCCGAATTCTTTTCAACAATTATCCAATTTGAGAATTTTGCTGACTGATTTATCATTTATTCTGCAGTAAATTCGTGAATTTTACTGTATTCACGAAAAACGGTAGACCCACCTGCAACTTTACTAAAGCGTTGCGAACGATGCAAAGATCGCCTTTCAGCTCGGAGACCATGTTGGCCAACTTGTTGGTGTCGGTGAGAACCTCGACGCTGTGCGTATAAGCGTTATAACGCACGCTAAAAGGGCGCTGGATGCGACTCACGTACTCCCTGCAACAATTATAAAGAAAAGACCTTAATCATTGAAGAATTTTTTTATTAAAACTACTGTTTCTATCAAAGATGTAATTGAAACCGTGTTATATTTACACGAGTACGCTACCTTATCCCGAAACCTCCTCTACCTGCTTGAATGTGTCGGTGAAGAAGTACTGGTGCTGGAAGGAATGACTTTCCTCTACGACTCCTATTTAATTTGCTTTTTCGGAGTAATCAGTGTAGAAGAAATGGCGCTGGAAGGAAGGACTTAACTCAACGCCTCTTTGGCCTGCTCAAAGTTGTCGGTGTAGAAGTACTGACGCTGGAAGGAAGGACTTATATCAGCGCCTTTTTGGCCTGCTCTAAGGTGTCAGTGTAGAAGTACTGGCGCTGGAAGGAAGGCCTTACCTCAACGCCTCCTTGGCCTGCTCGAAGGTGTCGGTGTAGAAGTACTGGCGCTGGAAAGTCGTGACGAGACATTCCACGGAGCTCACGCGCTCAGGGACGAACTCTTCTACTTTCGCAGCGCAGGAGAGCGCATGACGCAACTCCGCGACGCTCGACAGAAGCCCAGCGCCGTACACGCGTAGCTGTCCTTGCTGTAAATCATATATTTTATCATTACATGTCTAATATATTTAAATAATATATTAATATATTTTATCATTACATTAATATATTTTATCATTACAATCATTAACTTATATTAATTCGTTGCATATGATGATTTTGAGGTTCATCTTGCGTGTAAAATGTGTTTGAAAGTTATAAAAATAAACGTATGCATTAAATTCTCATATGCCAGCGGTTTTTAGTTCATTGGCAAATTAAATTCAAACCAGAGTTAGGGGAATCAGACGAAGAACAACTAGCATGGATTACCTGCAAATTTAGTCAGTTAAATTTTTACTTTTTAAACAAAACATTTTCGCTCCTCAATAAGGTTTTGTTATAGATGTCACATCAATAAATACGAGTATTTTAAGGAGCTGTCCTAACGTACGTTGAGATTCTCCCGCTCCGTGGCGCACGACATTGAATTAATGAAGCCCATGGAGCGCGATCGCGAAGTCATTAAGCAACACGGTTTAGTGAAGCGTTCAATTCCGTCTTGCTGCGTAACTCAATTACAAACAATTGCTGCCGTAGAGTAGGCCAACCGAAGTCATCTTTTGGCGAACATTATGTTTGGTCAGGTGCTTCGAAAATCTATGATATATCATGGCTTTATTTATCGCGTCAAATGAGTACTACAAATTTTATTTCTTTGTTTTCAATTAAAAAATTAGGGTTGTGAGTGTTCGACACTGTTTACGATTTCAAACGTGAAATTGTCTAATTTATCCAGCCTTGAAATACGATAAGTTTGTATCCCTTGGACACTTCATTTATGTTTTTACTCTACAGAACAAATCACTCTACTTCGTAAGTTGTCTATCTCTCTCTCTCTATAAATTATTAATAAATTATTTTAATTCAAATAAATTACAAATTCTATGCGAGTTCTTTAATCAAACCTTATGTATGAATATTGCTGTTTGTGTTTCACTTGTAGTTGATTTAGTTATTTATGCATCCCGGATATTATTTTTCTCTAAATAGTTCCCAAACACATGTAAATATTACTAGAAACATGAGAAGATTAATTTAGTATGTCAAATTAATTTTGTTTTCAGAACCAAAGACAGGAAACCCAACGATATATCGAGAAACTATCGAAAATTTCTTTTGATGTGTAGTTACAAACCTGATTCTAAGCAACAGTGACAGTGTATTTTTTTGTGCTAAATTAAGAAAAAAATAACAGGTGCGTTCCCTTTATGTGAGGCTGGCTGCAGATATGTAAATGAAGTAAGCTGATATTCTCGACTCGCTCTGCCTTTGTGACCGATAGCCTTCTCGAGCGGCCAGTAAAATAAATGATTTTTGTTGGCTGCTTCCACTATTAAAGGCTTCTAATATAAAGTCGATCTATGAAAAAAACTTATGCGCGATGAAATGGTACATGTATAAGATTATCTAACAGAGCATTTGTAATATACTAGAGTTGAACTAATAAAATAACATCTGGTTATTGCGCTGCCAATTCTAAAATAAATAAGAGTAAATTTTGCGTGGCTTTCTAGAAGTGTGGAATTTTTTAACCCACAGCTTCACTATATTGCAATATTGAGTAATTTTAGCGGTAAATAAAGTTTACTCTGCGTATATTGAAAAAATACAAATTTTGACAAAAAAAGCGCAGGGGCCACTGGGGTAGGCGAAAAGTTATTTTTTAGTTAACTATCACGGACATTTGCTGTTTTTTTTTTTTGGGAGGGGGGTTTGGTTTATATCACAGATTTAATCTCGATTATAAGATGTTGAAAAAATTATTTATGTATCTGACATACTTTTTAAAGCATTTTGAATAGGTAAAGTTAATGAGACCTATGAATTGAAACGTGAAGTCCATTATGCTTTATAGCAGAGCTCGTAAAATCTAGGACCAATCCTTTTTCACGAACTTATCAGAGTGATAATTTTCACTTCTGCGCCAATTTTCGGATTTTGATTCTGTTTTTGTGAAGGTTGCGAACAAGTAAGTAAATGCCATATTTGTGGCAACTAATTTTTCTTACCTCTTTGCAAAGTCCGAACTCGACAGTGAAGAAGTACAGCTGAAAAAAATATAAAATTAATTATTTTCCGACGTCAGACTGAATATACATCATATAAAAATCTGATTCAATTACCTTGGACAGCCGACCATGAGAGCATTTCAATCACCACCCCAAAATTTCAACTTGACTCGAATTATTGTAACGCGCTGCAATTACTTTTACATGATTTCACATCGAAAATTAAGCCTCAATAAAAAGAACTCAAATGGAAATCGAAAATGCCGAAAAATTGTTAAAATCAATAGTTTATATTAGATTATTCAACACATATTCTTTTCATATTGCAAGTCGTGAAGTTTTGACGATTTTAATCCATTTTCTAATTACGGAAGAAAAGCTCGAAATGCTGATCATTAAATCAATTTTGAAGATGACCAGATTTTACTTTCTAACCAGTCGGCTTCCGACATAACGTTTATATTTCTCATTCTCCCTTTATGTTCAGCTAACTTCAAGAATTTCTGACGGTAAGAACACAAACCTCCATAAATGGTGCATAATTGGCAGACCCAAGCCGCCATTTAGGTTGTAATTCAATCAGGAATTTCGTCCAGAGGACGAGGAATGACATGAGAGAGATGAAGGCCAAAAAAGTCTCCCACAAGCGTTTGTATATGTAAAAGTAAAGTTTAACTTTTTGCTCATCACGGTATGTTATCAAATTAGAAAACCGTAAAAATGTATTTGTTCCTACTAAATTTTGTAATGCATATTGTTCTATCAATGATATTGCAGACCAACGTCTAGGATGAATCTATCTGTCGAAATATAGAAATGCACTTGAGAAGGAAGTGTTCAAAATATAACTGAAATGTAAGTAAATGAAAAAAAAACATATCTTGTCAAAATGGAACGAAGTCCCAACAGTTTGGAGACGAACATCATAGTATTATGATTTTCGATGAGTTATCTTACAGCTATGATTAGTTATCTATGATTATCAAAGCGTTATCTTACAGCTGCAATCTTAGTGAGTTCCTCATCACTGACGCCCAAGGAGGCCAAGCCGATCTCCTGGGAAAACTGAGCAAAGCTGGGGCATGCCAGGAGTGGCATGTGTCCCAGCAGCTCGTGACAGCAGTCCCTGCGTACACAGGGCATGACGATCATTCCCAGGAAGAGTTCAATAACAAATTTTCTTCGATTGCATAAACGGGAATTTTGAATTAGGTGAACCCAATAAAACATTTGCATATGAGCTTCCCAGCTTTTCGCAAATTTTAACTAGTTATTAAAATCACAGATTTTTTATTTGTCTCTCGCCGGAAAATTAGCATTATCACGAAAAAATTTTAGTATACTGTCCTAAAATTATCATACTGCATTTTCTGCATCTCCTTACGCTGACCATGTTTTCAAATGAAAAATCAATGTATTTAGGGGGTCAATGTGAAAATCAATGCACAGGTCAAAATAGCCCGTTGAGGTATGGAGACCAATAGAATTTTGGAGGGCATCATTTCTTTACTCATATTTGTAACGACTAACATATGTGAAGTTGCAATTAACTGGTCTATGAAACTCCTGTGATAAAGTTTGTATGAATTTCTAATCAAACATAATCCGTGCAAAAGTTTATGTTCGTCATCCTTTACTCTGCGTGATCTCGACTTACGGCTCTCGCGTGTCTAAGATCTCGAAAGAATGTCTGATATACTCACGACCCTGGGGGCCATACTTTCAAAACTGGCTAAGTGAACGTAAGTACTTACGCTCTATTTTCTTGTCTATGATTGGTGGATTTGGCTTGAAAGGCCGTCAATGATTGGCTGATGAACTTACGATCTCTTAACCATTTTTGAAAGTATGGGCCCTGTGGGGTGTAAAAGAGACAAGTGGAATGCTTGATATACTCACGAATGCGAGATGTCAAAGGAACAAGGGTAATGGCTGATTTATTCACGTCTTTGGGTCTCAAGGGGTGTCAAAGGGATATGGGTAATGCATTATATACTCCCCTACCAAAATTCGTGGACCGCCTAGGCTTCGTCCGAATAGTCGCTCAACGCTAAGTTATTCTGGGTCTGCTTGGCTAATCGATCGAAATCAGTTTATGGTCAGAATTTTTTTCCGATTTTATGTTCACTTGAGGGTATGATAGGTGTTGGCCTAGCCAGCCATACTGAGCTAGAATGCTGTTCATAAGCTGCCTCTCAAACCGTAAGGCGAAGCGGGCATAGAGAAGCTGATTTGCGTGCTCCCCGAGTCCTATATATAGGCGGCACGTACGCGTATTTGAGGGTCAGGTACGCACCAAAATTTTGTTAGGGTCACGGCTCAGCAGTGTAGAAGAGATGGAATGAATGTCTGATACACTAATGGCTCTGGTGTGTAGAAGGGGTCAGAAGAATGCCGGATGTACTCAAGGCTCAGATGTGTAAAAGATGAATACCTGATATACTCATGGCTGTGGTGTGTTGAAGGGGTCAGAAGAATGCCGGATGTACTCAAGGCTCAAGAGTGTAGAAGATATGAGATGAATGCCTTAAATACTCACGGCTCTGAGGTGTAGAAAGGGTCAGAAGAATGCCGGATGTACTCAAGGCTCAAGAGTGTAGAAGATATGAGATGAATGCCTGATATACTCACGGCTCTGGGGTGTAGAAAGGGTCCGAGGAATGCCGGATGTACTCAAGGCTCAAGAGTGTAGAAGAGATGGAATGAATGTCTGATATACTCACGGCTCTGGTGTGTAGAAAGGGTCCGAGGAATGCCGGATGTACTCAGGGTTCAGAAGTGTAATAGATGAATACCTGATATACTCTTGGCTCTGATGTGTAGATGGGGTAAGAAGCATGCCGGATGTACTCAAGGCTCAAGAGTGTAGAAGATATGGGATGAATGCCTGATATACTCCCGGCTCTGGGGCGTAGAAAGGGGTCCGAGGAATGCCGGATGTGCTCAGGGCTCCGGAGTGTAGAAGATATAGGATGAATGCCTGATATACTCACGGCTCTGGGGTGTAGAAAGGGTCCGAGGAATGCCGGATGTACTGGGTACAGTGGAACACGCGAAAGGCCAGTCCTGCTAGGAAGTCGCGAGGGGAGAGATAGCCTGCCACTGGCCGCAGAGTAAAGCCTGTCTTTCCTATTCGATAAGACATCATAATTCATTGTTTTATAGCGAAATAATATTAATTTCAAAATCTACTTTGAAGTAATTACATTTTCCAATTTCCGCATTATTTTCAGTTCATTGAATAAAATTGGGATTTTAGTTGAGCATTCCGAGAGTATCGAAAATATTCATTCACAATTATTTTCCTCGAATTTCATATGCTAATTGCCCCGTAATAATAATAAAGAAAATTTCTTGCTTAAATTTACTGACACATTTTACCATACAAAATTTTTACCTCGCAGGAAAGCGTCAATATCAGCGAGCTGTGGGATGTTGTCTTCCCTGCACACAATAATAAAGTACTTCAGAGGAGTTTGAACGAATACATGGTATATTTCTGAGGAACTTAACCACCTTATTCCCACCTTGAATAACCAGTTAAGAGACATGGATTAATCATTGAAGAAACAATTGGTCATAATATTTGGGACCAACTTCTCGAAGTTTTCTTCGTAAATATGGTGATAGCACCCAGGCTCCAATTTACTGATGAAAATCAGGATCACAAAAAATGACTTTACGGCACATGAATGACTTTTTCGCGGTTAACTCTGAGAGATGAAGAACCCATCAACGGCTATTTGTTCGTGACATTTGCATATAAGAGAGCTCGAAATTGCGATTTATTGTAAGCAATAACACTACTGTAATACACGTCGAGTCCAGACAAGTAATAAACTTCCGTTTTCGTAACTCTAATGTGTGGGGTAGCTTAAACATGGTTGCTGTTCAAACGATCTTCAAAACTTTTCCACAATTATAATTGCAACAGCAATCGGTTTAAAACAAGCATTTATTCAAAATAAGCCTAACTATTCCTACATACTACTTCTCAATGTACGCAACTAATTTTCTTGCTTTATTACTATCACCTCTATAATCATTAATTCCCTGCTATGATTGTTCATACTCTAACCAATTTTGGAGCTATCTCCCTTACATCGACACCTATTTCTACCAATATATAACACTATCACTTCTACAAACGGTAATCATATAAATAAACATTTAATCTCATATTACGTAATTCATGCTGACACTGCATGTGCACATATTACCACTCATGTTACTTTTTGATCTGATCCATTATTACCCATAGTGAATCTCTATGAATAAATACTGTAGGGGCTGATAAAATAGGCGAACATTGACTGGACACGTTGAAATACGCAAATCTGAGGTTGTTGCAAAAAAAATCAGTTTTCTTCCAATAGGTACTCGATATTCGTTGTTATATATGTTGTAATGTTGATGGTCAACAATATATTTAAGTTTCCAAAATAATCTCTTCGTAAACATTATTGATAATAAATGTATTACATCTGAAAAAGGTCGCAAGAAAGAAATTTCGATGCAGAGTACAGGTTTCAGCATTCAGTTTCTTATATGTTTTAGACATTCCTGTCAATGCTCTTTAAAAATAATTCTTCAATTCCTATCAAAGAAATGGTTCAAATAATTTCTTCCCCTAGGAAATTCATACATATATTCTAGAGTAAGGTTTTGATCAAATTTCAAACTCACTGGTCGAAATCAGGTTAACTATTCTATTAAACTTCAAACGTCAACATTTAGAGACTCGAAGTGGCTTAATTGCATTTTTGTTACCTGTAGCCGCAGTGTTTGACCAGCATTGGCCAGTTCTCGTTGTACTCTTTGCACGCATGCGTTGGGTACAGGTTGTGCAGCTCACGGAATATTGTACCCCTGATGAAGGAGAGACCAATACATGGACATCCTAATATATTATATTCTAAATATTTTTAATTTATATTGATTACATCCTCATGCCAGAATTTGAGACTACATTTATTTTTTATATTGTTGCAACTAACACCCAAAAACTTAGTACCCTCGATAAAAAAGGCCATTTTAACCTTCCAAACATCTCGTCACAACTTTTTCCTGCGATAAATAGAGAATGCGACACTCATGTTACCAACAAAGAACGAAGATTGAAAGTCTCTTAACTTAGACTGCTTTTATAAATCATTAGTATTTTTAAATATACTTGAGTCTACACTGCAGAAATTGGATGAAAGCGCAAGGTGGTTAAGGAAACGTTGTAATTTTCTGAACACATTCTTCATTCTTTTCGCACAATTTTTCTCAACGACTAGATTGTACCAATAAAATGTTTGAAAATTTTTCTTTTAAATTAAAAAGATAAATTTTAAATTAATTATTGAAAACTTTCTGCTGATTTGAACTAAATTGACGCATTTTTTAAGTTCATTTGGATCCTTTTTTCATTAAACTCACCAAGTCTCAGTTTCCTCTTTCGTGTACTTCACCCTTGGAATCGGCTGGCCACTGCGGAAGAGACACATATTTTGCTTAAATCAATTCCTTCTAGTATGTTTAATATTTATTCACCTGTTTTCTTCATGTTCTGTTGAAATCACAACGTCAATAAAATTATCAACACGGGAATCCATTCTAATTCATACTCTATTTGATTAGCTTGATATTGTTAAAAGCTTTTACGGATTTTGCTGTCACTATTGGAAATAATGGCCAAACATCTGATTTCAATTGGTCAAATTTTAAGAAAAATTTAATTTTGTAAAATTTCAATAATAGTGCTTCTATCTGGGAGAATTCTAGATGAATACTAAGTATTTAAACAGTTTATTATTTCTTAGGTATTTCAGTTTCAGCCAGGTTATTTTAGGCAAACATTTTTGTGAACACATCACAATATTTATTCAAATGAATTCATTATGCCGATGAGAAATAAGAAACATAACTTTTCGTAATTTCTTTAAAAAATTAAATAATTTTGCTTCGGGCACATTTTTTTTACTCAGAATATTTATTTTTGATTACAAATGTAATTGAAATTGAAACGTTTTGTTTTAAAAATTTGGTGCAGACAAATTTATAAACCTACAAAAATTAAGCTCACAATCGGTACTTCATTGCAGTATCATAGAAGAGCTTCCTTCGCTTGCGGTAAACTGGATCCTTGAAGCCCTGGAAAGCAGAAAAAATTTTCCGACTTCATTAATTGCTTATCAATTATTCGAGTAACGATTCAAAACTTATTTCAACTAAACATTTCAAATAACAACAAAAAAACGTTGTAGGATTAGCATGGCTAATTTTTACACCGACTAAAGTACATGGCCCACGCCAATGCCACATCTCCCCGTCTATTGGAACGGAATTAAACCCGCTATCAACAGCTTAGCTGTCGCACTAAGCGTTCTTATTGCGACAATATAAAGTTCTAAATACACTTCGTTTATTTTCTCGCTGCATAAACCTAAAAAAACTTTGAATTGAAAGTATAAAATATAAAAATAATCACGTCTAAATTATTTCATGGACGTGATGCTTCCTTAGTTGTCTCGTATTTATAGTACATATGTTCCAGTTCACAGAACCCCGCCCCAGTGTTTCTGCAGGCTCGCTAAGTTAGAGGTGTGTTGTGCGAGTTAGAGGCGAATTTACGCGCGCCAATAGCTGGCATTGAGACTTGGTTGCAGTTTTCATTGCAGTATCATAGAAGAGTTTCCTTCGCTTGCGGTAAACTGGATCCTTGAAGCCCTGGAAAGAGAAAAAAATTCCCGAATTTATTATTTGCTTTTAAATTATTCGAGTAACAATTCAAAACATATTTCAACCCAACATTGTGAGCGAAAAATAACAACAAAAAAAACGTTGTAGTATTAGCGTGGCTAATTTTTCCACCGACAAAAGTGCATGGCCCACGCAAATGCCACATCTCTCCGTCCATTGTAACGGAATTATACCTGCTATCAAAAGCTTAATTGTCGCATTAAGCGTTCTTAGTGCGACAAACTAAACTCACTTCGTTTATTTATGAGCTGCTTAAACCTAAAAAAATTTTCGATTAACAGTATAAAAATATAAAAATAATCACGTCTAAATTATTTTAGCAACGGGATGCTTCCTTACTTGGCTCGTATTTATAGTACAAATGTTCCAGTTCACGGAACCGTGCTCCAGTGTTTCTGCAGGCTCGCTAAGTTAGAGGTGTGTTGTCCGAGTTAGAGGCGAATTTACGCGCCAATAGCTGGCATTGAGACTTGGTTGCAGTTCAAGACAAACGTCATTCAATTTGCGCACATTTTCACTGATCAAAAGCTTCTTTCGTTGAATTACACTACAATAAAAACCCTATATGTGTTGTTATTATTTCAAAGGGTTTCTTTGTATGAAATTTAAAATAGTTTATGAAAACGAGAAGAAAATTTGGTTCAAGCACAGTAGATATGTAGAACCACCCCTGACTTACTTTCTTCTTACAAAAAAACGAAATTTTCCTTGATGAGATTTTGACATATGCAAAACACGCGGAAAAAACTAACTCGAGATATTTCTTGACAATATATTTCACAATTTGATCTTCATCCTAAAATTGCTTATTGACATATAATGCTGCCTTCAGCATTTCAAAACAAATATGCACTTTCAACCGTGACCGAGTTCAAATTTTGCATCCACTCTATCTATTGCAATGTAATTTACTATACACGCTGCAAACGTTAAATGATGCAATATCATATAGAGAACCGCTTGCAATCGTGCCTATATCTATTCAAAGTCCAGCCAAAGTCAGTGATTGGTATAGATTCTGATCCCATTGAAGGAGCGAGCGTAAGCTTCTTGAGTAATGATCTCACTTCTTGCCAGAGGCCACACAGTTCATAGTCTCTGCTTTGAAGCTCCAATCTGAAGCCATGCAACCTTTCCAGCTTTTGTCAAATTCATTCGAGAACATTCCTGCATAACTCATCATGTCCTTGCACTCAAAAAATGTTGTGCAGTCCTTGAAAAATATTTTTGTCTGCTGGAACTGAAAAAGATGCGTGGCATGTCATACACGCTAAGATGAGATGATTGCAGTGAAACGTTGGTAAAGATTTAAGGAAAAATACTTTATTTATTGATATGCAAAATTTCATTATAATTTTCATACATTTACATTTAAGTAAAGTAAATAAATCAGCAATAAAACGTTATTTTATTTGTAAATGATGTTTTAAATAATGAATTTATCTACACATTGAAATTGCTCTTGCATGTATGTAATACTTCGACCTTACGCCGCGTTAAAATGTATTAACGTGTTTCTGTAGACATGTTCTTTATCCAAACTTGTGAGCGAAGAAGAGAAAAAATGAATTATTTCAGCCCATTAACCTCTTTCTTGAAGTTTTTAATTGCTAATTAGTACCAGGAAGCGTTCATCAAATAAAAATCATGATAATGACCTATCGTGGTTTAGCCTATTATTAGGGCCAAATTTGGTTAGCCAGAAAATTCAATTATTTTTTTGAATGAAGAATCTTTTCCAATTCTGATTTTATTTTAGTTTTATTTTGCTCGTACAATTTCTACACGGAAGGCTAAATATCCTTAGATTGTCTTTTTTTTAATATATTTTTTTAAGAAAAATTGTGTGCCAGAGAGCTTTTTTTTTTTGTCTCGGCTCCGACAAAAATATCTTTTTTTATTAACGAAAAAGCGAAATAAAATAACTGAATAAACATAAAATGTCACCCTAGAGTTCTGAAAAGAACATACGAGAAGCGCATGGAAAATGAATAATTAAAAAGTAAGCAAAATTAATGTTTAAGAAAAAATTTCGGTATATCATGCATGGGTGACGAGTAAATTGGGAGCTTGAAAAATGACAATACCAGTGAAATTATCACCGAATGACAATTAATTGTTATTAATCTGTCCTATGCATTAGTAATAATCAGTGAGGCACAAGCACACGGTTAGTTGAAAGAACAGTGACAACGAGCAAAAAGTCTATAGAACAAATTTTACATATAATAGAGGTCAGTCATAATTGATGCAACTGTATAAGATATTTTGGACGTTCACTTGAAGACCAAAGTTTTATATTCGATTCGGGCAATGCGTGCAGCAGAACAAATCGAAAAATGAAATCGTCCGTTTCATTTTAGGATTATAATTCATTTATTGCTTCTGGAAATTACAATGTAATCTAGACAATTTCACTGTAATTTCATATCACAAATTTCAAACGTATCGTCAAAGTAGAATTTTTTCATGCGGCCCTCCTTCCGTATTGGAAATTGATTAATTAGTACTTAAATTCTGGGAATAAATTCACTCATTCTTTTTATTCGGCAAACCCTCCTATTTGTAATAAGATTAATGTGACGAAATTTCAGGAATTAGTTCACTCATTGTTTTCACTCAACCAATTCTCCTATTTTTAATAGGATTAATCTGGCAAAATTTCAGGTATTAGTTCACCTCATTCTTTTCATTAAGCCAACCCTCCTAATTGTAATAGGATTAATGTCGCATAATTTCAGTAATTATTTCACACATTCGTTTCACACGGCTCTCCCTCAGTATTGCGGAATTGAATTAAAAAGTTTAAATTGCAGGAGCAAATTTACTCATTCATTAAAAACGGTCAACTCTCCGTATTTTTAATTAGATTAACTATGTTAAATTTCAGGAAGTAGTTCGCTCCTTCTTTTCATACGGATATCTCTCCGTATTGGGGATTGAACTAATAATTCGAAATTTCGGGAACAAATATTCTTATTCATTCCATACGATTAACCATCTTTTTTTAATTGAATTAATCCTCATAAATCACGCACTCACCGGGTGGTCAGCGTCAAGATCGGATCCGTACATGAGCACCGTCTGGAAGTGGTCCAAATCCGCAATCTTGCGAGGAAACCAAGGGCACGAGTCTCCAAGATCTGTATTTAAAAAATGAAACCTGAATTATAATTATTGATTGGGATTTTAAAATCATTGGGAAAATTATAATCCCCCTTGACTGAGAAAGTAAATCGAGCTAAAATACACAGCAAACAGCCTACTGAATGAGAAATATATAGTAATATTATTGAATTACTTTATATCAAAATATTTTCGAAGTGGTAAGTAGCTAACGATAAATATAACAATTTAAGACAGTCTAAAAGGAATCAACTTATGAAAAAGAAGGGAGAATTGGCGCTTGGGTAAATTTAAACTACAATTGAGCGTACAAAGAACTATAAAATTAACCGAAAACAAAATTTTCATTCTAAAATGATAGTTTTTTAAACTAGCTTTTGCTCTTCCGGTACGTACAACTGCAGGAGATCAAGAAAGTTTTTAGCCTAAATATTTTTTACTGCTAAACACACAGAGCATGAAAACAAGATCCTATCTATAATGCAATGTGAAGATAATAATTGATAAAGATTTTAGATTGAAATTCTTTTATCAGAGACATTCTGTACTGGTTGAACCTTTCGCGCACGCTTAGGTATGCGCAATATTTACAAAAAAAACTCCAAGATTAAAATCATTGATGATCGAGGTCTCATGCATATTAGTAACAAAACTATAAGATTAGATTCAACCTACTCCGATTGAATGTCTTTGATGAGACATGTAGTGTCTATTTAAATGTCCTAACTGCGCTAACTAAATTCTGGATCAAAGGTACGACTTTTCGTTATGTTATTTTTTTCTACTATATGACCCCAAAGAAAAATTGTTGACATCAAGACTTCGATAAAATTAACATGCAATTCAAATCTGTGGCACATTGCCTGCTCGAAATGCTTTCTCTTATTACTCCAAGCCACATCCAAACTGTTTCAATTACTTTCTACTGATATCACGCAACTTCACCAGAGGACTAATTTTCAAAATTAACAAGCAATTGAATTCGTTAGCACCAAACTTCCTCTTAATCCCTTTCATATTTAATTTTTCTTACTCATAGCCTTTCCAAACTGCTCTAATGCACGCAACCTCACCAAATGACTTATCTTCAAAATTAATTCACAATTGACTTCGTTAGCAGCTAACTTCCTCGTAATATCTTTTTATATTTTCCCTTGTTATTCTTGGCCTCATCCAAACTGCTTTCATTACACGCAACCTCACCAAAGGCCTTAAGTTTCAACGTAACACACAATTGCCTTCGTTAGCAGCAAACTTCCTTTTAATCCCTCATATATTTTCCTTTGTTACTCAGTGCCTCATGCAAACTGGTTCAATGTAGGCAACCTCACCTTAGGCCATAAGTTTCAAATTAACACACAATTGACCTCGTTAGCAGCAAACTTCCTTTTAATCCCTCACATATTTTCCCTTGTTACTCATAGCCTCAATCCAAACTGCTTCCATTAAGCGCAACTTCACCAAAGGACTTATCTTCCAAATAAGCACACAATTAACTTCGTTAGCAGCTAACTTCCTCTTTATCCCTTACGTATACCCTTGTTACTCATAGCTACGTCCAAACTGCTTCCATGTACGCAACCTCACCAAAGGACTTATCTTCCAAATAAGCACACAATTAACTTCGTTTGCAGCTAACTTCCTCTTAAGTCTCAACCCCTTAAATATTTTCTTTTGTTACTCATAGCCTCATCCAAACTGCTTCCATTACACGCAACCTCACCAAAGCTCTCGTCTGTAGGCAGACCGCAGGGCGGTGGCTCTGGAAATTCGTCGCCGCGGTCGTACTCGTGCAGACTGAGGCATGACACCTGGCGCCTCAACTGCTTCGTTCGTTAGCAGCAAACTTCCTTTTAATCCCTCACATATTTTCCCTTGTTACTCATAGCCTCAATCCAAACTGCTTCCATTAAGCGCAACTTCACCAAAGGACTTATCTTCCATATTTGCACACAATTGACTTCGTTAGCAGCTACCTTCTTTTTGATCTTTTACATATTTTCCCTTGTTACTTGTAGCTATACATCCAAACTGCTTCAATGTACGCAACCTCACCAAAGGACTTATCTTCCAAATTAGCACACAATATCCTTCGTTAGCAGCTATCTTCTTTTTAATCCCTTTCATATTTTCCCTTGTTACTCATAGCCTCATCCAAACTTCTTCCATTACACGCAAGCTCATCAAAGGACATATCTTCTAAAATCTAAATTAACACACAATGGACTTCGTTAGCAGCTCCTACCTTTTAATCCCTTAAATATTTTCCCTTGTTACTCATAGCCTCATCCAAACTGCTTCCATTACACACAACCTCACCAAAGCTCTCGTCTGTAGGCAGACCGCACGGCGGAGGCTCTGGAAATTCGTCGCCGCGGTCGTACTCGTGCAGACTGAGGCAGGATACCTGACGCCGTAGCTGCTTCGTCACCTCCTCCATCTGAGGGTTGTCGCACTCGATGTCTACTAGGAACTCCATCTGCGAGTCTCGGCGATGATGACGCCGGCTCTCAATGTGCACAACGTTGATGCCTCTTTGCTGGGGTATTAATTTAAAAGATCTAATCATTTAAGATCGTACTCAAGTTTCTCGAAAAAGCAGTTATGTGCTAGTTAAAAAAAGGTATTATGATTTGAAAAAAAATATCGATCATCATGGTTCTCATTGTGCCACATCATCATCGTTTTCGGAAGTTTAGTGTAAGAGAGTATAAATATGTTTGTTCTTTTTATAGCTACGCATCAAAATGGGGGTTTCACTTCTATTCGGAAAAAAGTTTAATCTTACAATTGGACAGTTTACTGGAACATAATTAATGAATGAAAATCATTTACTCGAATGACATCAAATGAATTATTTTTTTGGTATCTAACGAACTTACTAGGTTGGCGGTTTCAATGCATTATTTTGTCTTGCAACAATCAGCAAATTTTCTGACGTTTAGTCACTTAAATCTCTGTTCTATGACAAATTAATTTATATGTGCAGCAGCTGAGAGTAAGATTCGCGAAAGTAAAATTCAAACATTTCTCACCTTGAAAACATGGAGGGCCTTAGCTAGGCCACCAACTTGATTCTTGAGGCTGAACACCACCGAATTGCAGGACGGGGTGTAGACTTCATCGTTTGTTAACGTATCAACTCCAGCGGATGATTGCAAACGCTTTGGGTTTTGATGACACTTCTTTTCAGGCTCCGACAATGTTAAATCGACGTTGTCATTCTCTTCATCATTATAATTCTTCTCTGCAAGCTGCTCTTGCACGTTGGTAGTAGACTTTTTCCTCGATGTTGATGGACTCACTGACATTTCACGATCCTCGACGTCTTCGTTGGGCTCTTCTTGAATAGGCTTGGGGAAGCCCTATGCTCACAGAAATACGGCAGAGGTTAAAAGCGAGTGAATAATTACGTTATTAACATTATTTGTGAAAAATTCTGCGTAGGGCTAATTAGTTTATCAGGTCATAATAATTAGCATGTCAGATAAGATTAAGTTGATTGTCAATCCGTCTTCGCGTGCACGATTGAGAAAAAATTAAAACAATTGGTAATGTGACTTATCGAAAATATAATGCAAGCATGCATTGGCGTTGATCGGGATAAAGATTGCCTTATGATGAACATTTGAATTTTAAAATTCTTTATTTCTTAAATATCTCATTTTTTTCGAAAGCAGCAAAATCCTATTAGCTGCTCCAACGCTACTTTTTTCAAACTCATGTCTATAGAATTTGAGAACAACCCTTTAAAAGTTTCATCAAAGAAGATTTTCTGGTTATCCATGAGGAAATTATTATTATGTTGAAATTTCCATTAAAATAAAATTTTACTTTAAATACAAATAAAATTATTTTCAATGTATAATTAAATTTAATGTCTCTGGCTATCTTTGAAATCCGAATCCGAAACAAACCCCATGGATTCACACTCGAAAGACCTCCATTTATTCAGATGTGATAGACACTATAGTACACCACCTCGTAAAGTGAAATAAATGAAATACCTGAGTAAGCAACAAGGATTATAATGTATGCAATTTGGCTTCACCGAACTAATGACCATCGACTAGTAAAAAATACTGGCATATTTATGTGGAAATACTTAATTTCATTGTTCATTTACTGAAAGACTTGAATTAAGATGTTTTAAAATAATAATTGCCATTTATGATGGTTCTATGAGATTGAGAAATTTGGATCTTGAACGAAAATCGAGTACAAATATATGGTACAGAATAAAATAAATTCATTCAATGCTAAATTTGTATTCAATTAAATTCATTTATAGGACTATAAATTAGTAAATTAGTTTGAAAAAATGCAATGAGATGATAAAATGAAACTGCTGTGCATAACAATTGATGCTAAACGCCGACACTGATTTATAAACTGATTTTTTTAATGTAAAAGGTCATTTTATTGTCCATGTGGTAAATAAAAAAAAACAGGGTGCTAAGCGTGAGTCTGATTTTTTTGTAACATTTTTTATTAATTGAACACCAACAAGGTCCCACTTCGGATGTAAATATAACATAAAATTTGCGAATCAAGAAAAATCATAAGCAAATTAAATAATTTCCGATTCTTGTCAAAGAACCTTTACTATTTAATAAAATAGAAATTGAACGGATGGTTGTCATTTGTGACATTCATGAAACTCGAAACTAGACATATCGTTTTACAATGGCATCTCGAAATAAAAATACGAGTACGACAAAATTGAAATACTTTTCATGCATTATGCTGTCAGTAAGAGATGATTGTGAATTAATTTTCCAAATTAATGATTAAATAATTTATTAGCATTACATTTTTATGTAGCCGCCTCATTGCCATCTTAATTTTTTTAGAATAATACACATGAGCCGAGAGATGAAACATGCCAACTCCAGAAAATTCGCCAACAAGCGAAAATTCGTCTAAAATTATTATTATTTTTTAATTCAAAATTCGTTTGAATCTATATTCGTTGAGGAAGAAATATAAAAATAGTGAAGAAATCCATTTAAATCGTTAGTCTCCTACTACTTCTGTGGATTACGCTTGTCACTAGAAATAAATTTCCCAGAAAAAACTTACCTGCATAGGATCTTTCACCGTCCAGAGGTCGTCGTTGCGATAGAGCCACAGCCCTATTAATCCCTTGCCTGAACCACTCATTTCCAGTCCAATATGTTGCTTGTAAAAAAATTACACATTATTTTCCAGCTGTTGAATTAAATTATTTAGTAAAATTATCAGTCAAATCGCACATTAATTATAATCTTCCCAATAAATAATATGAGCGCATTGTGCAACCTTTTATATAATGTAGACTTTTTAAGCTATTAGAATATTGTAATGACCGGTAAGCCTAGATTGTGATATATGTGTTTGTCATCTAAAGTTACTAAACGCACACATCACTTTATTTTTAGGCAATAATCAACTAACAACTCTAATTTTAGTTCATCTCGCTGTCTGGCAAACTTAGTGATTGATGGTCGATGATAGGAGTAAGGTAATGGGTTTTTTATTAGTTATGACGCATTCAGTTTTTCAGTTTCCATTAATAAATTTTCTGAGAAAAAATTACATTTTTTCTATTGAGCAAATTGTCTATGCATATTTTTTTTTAATTTATGACAAATATTTCAATCATTTCAAACATATCAATGAAATAGCATTTTCTCGTTATGGGAACAGCATTTAATTTATTTCGTGCTACGTAGAAATTTATTTCTAAGCACTCATTCAGACTTAAATTCATTTCATGAACAATCACGGCCTCCTAACCATCACTTGGACACCTATCGATTAATAACAATAGTATTCATAATTAACGCCTAATCTTAATATCCAAATTCATCGAATTTTAGTTTGGAGTTTGGTATGCCTGTTCAATAATGCTTCGAAATATCAAAGCTTAGACAAGAAAAAATGTAAAAAAATTTGATAATAAATTCTATTTCTCGGTAAAAGCAATGTTCCTTGTGATTACATTGTAACTGCCAGTTTTGTCCGGAAATTGGTCAATTAACAAAATACATGCGAGAAAAAGTATGACTTCAGATTTATTCTACTTGATTTCAAATCCTGATGGTAAACTAAGTAGAAAAAATAATCCGGATTGAGGAGTACAAGATTATATGAATATGATCATAGCACATTTCCAAAGTCATCTATCTCAACTATTGACTTTTTCAATTTTGATTTCCCCTCTCTTTAAAACCAAAGTAATTATTTAAGATCCAAGCATAACCAGACTATTGAAATCATCTGGAAGCTCGATCGTTGTTTGCCAACCCTGTCAGCCTACCTCTTGTCGCAGACGCCGCACCTCGACTGAGAGCCAGCTACTCGGACGCTACAAGACGACTGATGCCACTTCTTGTGTCAGACGCCACACCTCGAGTGCCCACACGCTGCCACTTCTTGTGTCAGACGCCACACCTCGAGTGCCCACACGCTGCCACTTCGCCACACCTCGAGTGCCTGCACGCTGCCACTTCTTGTGTCAGACGCCACATCTCGAGTGCCTACACGCTGCGTCCTAGGTCTGACACCACACCTTGAATGTTCACACGCTACCATTTCTGAAATTGTACGCCAGAAACGCTTAAAGCTGTCTCTTCGAGAGCTACACCTTGCGTCATAGACAGCAGCTTCTTTTCAGGCCGAACGCAACAAATCGACTGAACATCTGCAAACATTTTTTAAATCGGACGGAAGAATTTGAATGAACGCCAGCCGTCGTTTCAGTCATCGGACGCATCGCATTAGCTTAGAGTCAAAGGCCGTTTTTTGTAGCTAACGTCACACCTCAAAAGATCGCCCTTTTCCACTTCTTGCACCGCACGCCGCACTCGGATTAATTTTTCGATTCCACTTTTTGCACCGAAAGATCCATTTTATTTTCAAAATTAAATTCAAAAACATTTTTAAATTATTGTACATATAATATCACTCAATGAATGCAGTCTACTGCTGTAGATAAAGCATGCATGCATGCCGACTGCCCATTTAACTTCGATGCATGCTCGTATGAAATTGAAAAACTTCCATTCTTGGTTCCAAAAAGAAAATGTTGAATCAGATTCTATCTGATTAAACAGATAGAATTCTATTTTAAATTTAATAAAATCACATTGAAAGACAGATATGGATTCAATTTTCAACAATAAAGCGTCTGAAAATTTTCTCTTAGCCTGATCGTTCCGAAGTCGAAATAGCTATAGTCTAAACTGTTGCAAGGCTGCGACAGTGTTCTTCAAAAATCCTGTTCACGCGTTTCATAAAACTACATTTTAAAACAGTGTATTTGTTACTTTTAAATACCTGAATACATCAAGTATACCTTCTTTGAAGACCAGATACAAGTTAGCGTAAAGCAATATTAAAATATCATATTGCCAATTCCTTCTGATTCGGAAAAATAATCTTCAATTATTAACGTAGAAAAATTATTTACTTACTTTTCAAAATGATAGGCTACCTTTCCAATGCAGCAATATTATTTACTGTGTAGTTCAAGTAAAAATTTCATTGCGTGCGGGAATTTCAATGATTTTTGTGCCCGTTCCTGCAATCTTTTACTTTTATTTTTGGAGGCACAGCGCGTGCCAGATTGGCATGATTACTGCCCTCCGCCTCCCGACTCTCACAGAGACAACCAAACTTATCCTTAAAATTTTTTCAACTTTGAACAGTTCATAATGAAGCTGATAAACTATTCTTTCACTAGACTATAGCTTTCAATTTTTTCAATCATTTGTTTATTTATTTTCCCGTGTAAAGGGTGACTATCTTTCGTTTGAAATATATTTTTACGCCAGTAATAAAATTTTCGCCTGAAAAAGAATTCTGCATTTGGCGCAAAGCTATCCTCTCACGTCATGCGTCAAAGTGAGCCAAGAACTAATATTACTGAGAGAACACCCGCAAATGAAACATGTTGTCATATCTTAATAATTCACAAATGAAAAAATTAAACGTGTACAGGCTTGCAGAAGAACGCTTATTGACATACGATTTTTGTCTTTTTTTGGCACAAGTGTGACAAATTCACGGTAAATTAGAGAATATTGTTATAATAATAATATATTCTGAATATGATAAATTGATATATTTATCTATATCATATATTCCACATATGACTTCTTCCAAAAATTTCTTAGAATATTCTTGTTTCTAAACGCTGCATGATCTAGATCAAATTTTTTTTTCTCGTTAGATTTGAATAGGTATTTTTGATAGGTTCAGCTTCATACTAAAAATGCAGGCAAATTTAATACTTCATATTGATAGAACTTTAAAATTTAACAACCTCTACCAAAATCGATTAAAATTTCTTAACGGACACGAATCCGCAACACAAAAAATACGCCTCCGTAAACCAAGATGAGATTATAACGACCATTCGTTGGGAAAAAAACTTGCTTGTTAGTAATTCCACGTGCAATTGCCAACAATTTGGAATGAAAATTTTCCTTTTCTGACTTCTTGGTGAATACCAGCTTTTACTACTAATAAAATCATCAATTTCATAGAGTTCAATTAATCGAAAAAATAATGTCGCCTTATTAATGAAAAGAAAAATTATTTACTCTTTTCCATATACTGTAAGAGGCTAATTTCCAATTAAGGCATCAATTTTTTATTTTGTAGTTCACTGAATAATTTCATTGTGTACTCTGTTCGCAGGCAACGAATCATATGAGATCTTGACGACTGCCTTATAAATTATATTGCCCTTATAATATAAATTATTCAATTACCTGATTGAAAATTTAGTTTTTTCACATTTTGTTTACGTATAGTTTGCTGGACAATTTTATATCGACTAGCAGCGACCGCTGGAAGAAAGTCTATTTAAGTTGGCCCTGAAATGAACTGAGTTCCAGCAGACGACGAAGGCCGAGGAAAACTGGCGACTTCAGTTCCATACAGACATCAACATGGCAGATCCCGAGCTAGACGATTTCCGTGAATTTTTCGAATTTTCCCCTCAACCACCGAAAGAACATGTCAACAGATACACGTGAGTGAAGTTAAGAGTTTCATGTTATGTATTAGTGATCTCAGTGTCGAGAATTGATCGTGGAGGAGAGTGAGTATCGATTTGAAGGGCGAGGCAGTCAGCTGGACTTATTCTGCGTGGTGTTTACCTGCTTTCCTTCCTTTATTTTCATAATATTTGAAACATGTTGACGTAATCAACGCATTGTCCTAGTATTGTATCGCTTGTATTTTATTCCTCTGATTTTTGGCCGTCGTAAATTACGTCTCAGCAAACACGTAATTGCATCAACTATGTCAATGTTATCTCTAATCATTCCTATTTTACCTTCAAAATACAGAATCTCTTATCCTGAGTAAGATGTGCATCGTGAATTTTATTTAGTTTCAAAGGCAACTTCTCATAAAGCCTCGATCAGTATTGCTATATCACTCGAATAATGCTTTACTCCTCCTACATCAGATCAAGATTCCAATACTATAGTAGAATAAATGACCGCCAAAAACGTACAGGTCGCTCACCGCTCGACGCTCACCTTGTTACGATAAAATTGAAAATTTTCATTATGCTCCTGAAATCAGTCTATCGTCAAATAATTTTATTCCAATTTAAAAATTAATGTTTCGGATCATTTGCTCTACGAAACTGACTTTCTAGGGTATCTGCATGTGCATGGTGAGGTTTACGTTCCATGAACTTCAAAATTTGAACAATTCTGAAGTTAGGTCTTAGTAATCGCTATCAATCTTTGATGCACAACCCTGTGTTGTACAAATTAATTGATTCTCCCTAAAAATTGAATTAAGATTTTTGTTTGAATTTGTACGGAAGGATTTTAATACATAATTTTTACATGCATTTCATTTAGAATACATTCTACAATATAACCTCAATTAAAATAGCAAGTGAACCCGGTGTTGCTCGGAATTGATCCGTTTGTTTTAACGATCGAATACCGTCATCCCTGTGATTTTAATAGTTTTATATTTTAATAAACGTGAACTTAGGATTCGTTCGACCAAATCCTCTATCTAACATTGCCTTTATTTAGCTTGCGTTTCACAATTTTTGAACCTAATGGCAATATTTTATTTCTTTAGAGACTTGCCTTATGGCCGAATTATATTAAAATGAGTTCCAATTTTACACTTATTTTTGCAATTTATAATTATCCTTGAATAAAATAATATTTCAAGCCCACTTAACATCTCGACACAATAAGTATTGTAGTTTCGGCGCTGATGAATAGGTCAGGTTTGGCCTATCGCCGATTCTGGTAATTTTCAAAACTTGTGTTCTCCGGAGATTTAAATACTGTACTTTTAACCAGATCTTTTCAAAATTGAAGTTGAAATAAGCAGCGAGCGACTGGACTTTTACTATGTTTTCTTATGGTGACTGACACTTCAAGTCTTAACAAATTAATCTGCGTAACTTAGTCTAGTCTGTTCATGAACGCATTCATATAAGAATTCAGATGTGTGCTCGAACGACGATATGAATTCACCGTAACCTGCTTTTAACATACCAACTATAACAATAACATTCTAAATACATAATATATAGTGGGTCTCGCATTCTATTTAATAGATTGTCACAAATATGTTCAACTAAACCCATTTGCCACCCATAGTGCGACAAACAAATTAATGCTTAGAAAACCGTAATTTTGTGGGTGGTTGTTGATGGAATGTATTACCGGTACTGTCGAAATCACTTTTCACTCTCAAGGGTCAGTGCCATCAGCATTGTTCTGAATATTTGCATTATGCACCGTTATTTGAAAATAAGAACAACAGATTTATCGGATTTACGTAATCAAGAACTTCTCAATCCAGGATTGAACTGTTGCTTGCCATCATAGTTTTAATTTTAGCTCGATGCTCAGCCTTTAATATTACTACAAATTAAATGGTAAATGATAATCTAAACTATGAACTTTTTGAACAAGTTTTTAATCAAAAGCCATAAAATGAAAAAAGTAGAGTTAAATGTAATTCTAGTTTGAACAATATTTTCCCAGTAGTTTATAGACTAATTGAAAAAAACGAATAATATTTTATGGATATTCAAGCAAAAAAAATTATATTCAAGCAAAAAATTGTGCGAAGCCGTTAAGCTCAAAGAAAAATTATACGAGCCGATTGGAAAAACCTTCTAGCGGGCCACGATTCATTTAACGCGAGGGTTAATTTGATTTATAGTTTATGCTTATTTTCAAAATTATCCGTAAAATTGTAGAATATTTGTTATTTAAGTTTAGCAAATCGGTTCGAGATAGATTGAGGTTGTTGTAGTCTTGCCTAAACAATCGCGAGAATTTCAATTTGTTCCTTTTCTCTTCTACGCCATTAACTCTGACACTTCACGGCAACGCAGCGTCGGCTCATCGAGGAAATTGGTTGCTGCTGCAACATGGCGTTTGTTCGTATCGTTCATGACTACATTTTACAAATAACTATTTTTCCCTCACCTACACAGTTGTGTAAATTGAGGAATTATTTTAGGTATACTTTGAAGAACCCAATGTTATTCCTAAAATAACTTGATTTGAATTGAGAGGTTTCCTGTGTTTCGTTTGAAGCATGTCACTCACTGTCGTAGTTAAGCATCTTTTATTTTTTATATTGTGATATATTAAAAATTGAAAAAATGTGTAATAAAAATATAGAATTAAAAAATTTTTATGATTGAAATGAAATTTTTTCAACAAAAACCGTATACTCGACCCGTAGTCTTCTAGGAAACAAGATTTCTAGGCCAAAAAATTATTATACTCTGAAGGGGAACATTTCCTACTACTCCTTTTGTGGTAGAGAATATGTTTCTTTACTTACAAATAAGTTATACATACTGGTGGCAAAAATCATTGTTCTCATTTGTTTAATCAATGTTGAAGTGTATGATGTTGAACTGGCTGCATTAAAACAGACTACAATATTAAGGTCACATAATTGCTTTAATCACAAATTAACTACAATTTGATAGAAGAAGATTATAGGGTAAAAGTCATCATCAGTTAGCATAATTTTGCCTTGTGGATTGAGCTACAGCATTTGTAAATTCTCCGTATGATTTAAATTGTTACTTGAGCCAAAAAACAAGGATTTCTACGGAATTAAATCGTCACATCTTGAAAAAAAATCTTTATATATTTGTAGTAGAAACGGGCTAATATCGACGATCGCCGCCTCCAAAGTCAGTAAATGCAACGCAATCCTGCAAATTTTCACGCAAACGTTTCCCATGAAGCTCCGCGAATAGCCTCCGGAGAAGTTAAATTAGTCATCGTCAAATAAGGTTTTCTTCTGCCGCATCCGAACAGAAAACGAAGAGAAAACGCTGCTGTAAGGCCAATATCGACCGCACGCTGCGAACGTGTCTGGATCCAAAATTCTGGTGCGATTTGTGAGCTTTTCACGACCTATAAGTGTAAACGAAGAAATTGTGGCTAGAGCCATTGCATCATATCATTCATATAGTTAAACCGTTATATTCTGTAAATTGTTGCAAGTACTCCGGTCCCAACAACTGCAAACCTGATATTGGGAGTACCGGAGTAATAATTAATAAGAAGACCTAAAAAGTCTTCAAAACTTGGAGCTTGCTGCAAGTATGGAATTGCCCACAATATGAGCTTCATTACTGCAAAACCAAGCATTCTTTCATGCTGATTATAAGTTAAATCCCGGTTAATTAATTAAATCCTTATTTAATAAAAATTTAAATGTTTTTTACATTACAGTCTAAATGCTTTTATTCACGCACCACAAAAATATTTTTAAACCAGAGTACCGTCATTTCATACTTAATCTTTGAGTCTACAAATTTATTGCAAAAAGAAATCAAATTATTTCCAACTTATTCGCTGGCAGTCATAATTGTCATTTACATTTTAGTAACAGATTCAAGATCTTCTTTGTAGTGGTTCAGTCGTTATCCCCACCTCCTCTTAAACGGCACATAAAAAAGGCCCGAAAGCCCGGTTATCACGCGAGTTTTAACCGGCAACTACGGCAGAAAATTTTAAACTGAAGTTCTTATTTAAGAGATAAATTCTATACTCGATCTCAAACGCACGAATTGGCTCTTCTTTCCCCAAACTTTTTGATGTTTAAATTGGTTGAAATTTCAACAAACAACTGGTGTGTCAGCTCAACCGACTTATCCACGATGGCGTCGTTTTTTGCGGTGACCAAGAAAAAGTTTTGCTTCGCTCTGTGAGGCAGTCAAATGCGTGTAGTTTATTTTTAGCGCATTTTCTCATTTATGGAAAAATTCACTATTGTGCTCGCCATGTCCGTCTGTCCGTCCGTCCGTGACCTCAAGTTTTCGTCGACGAGAAAATGCGCTCTGTCACTCACTGCAGTGAGTACTGAGTTATATTTTTTCTACATGTCGACGCTCACGTTTGTCTAAATCCTTACATTTCAGTGGTAATGTGAACCAATATTTTCGTTAAGAAAAAGTCGAAAATGTCATTGGCCTGCGCGTTGTGGCTTTAAAAAATAACATTTCCATTGCGGAAGCATAAATTATTCTGGATATTATATAAAATCAATTTCAAATTCGTAAACAAATCCGTTGATAGTAATTTCGGTTATGAGCAAGGGAAATATCGTTTCCCAAACATTAATTCACCAGCGAAGCTAACTTTTTGTTCAAGATATGATTAGCTTTATTTCTATTCTATGTATATTCAACCGAAAATTCGAAATTAAGCGAACACTTTGCAGTCTCGTTCGACCTCGAATAAAGGCTCTGTCTGGCGGAGTGAGCGAGTTATATGCGCTTGAGCTGATACCTCAAATACACAGTAATTTTATTCTCTAAAAATCCTTATTATTAATTAAGGCTCACTAGCTGTAGTTTCGCAATGACATAAATTTTCAATTGTAAATGACAGCCTAAACGTTGTATTAGGTTTCGTTATTTTTTACGACACGATGGAGGAAAATTTTTCGGCATTATATTCTTCGTAATTGACCGGCTTTAAATGGAAATCGAAACCTGGCTTCTTT